ATCATATAAAGCCAATTCATTCTTGATCTAAGAATAAAATGGGCCTCCAAAATCTCACAAGAGACACCAACTTGATTCTCTCTGGTGATTTTCATCTGACATCAGTAGTAGTAGTTCACAAAGGAACAGAACTTGACCTGATAAATAGCCCACAAAGGATCAGAAATTGTACTAATAAAACCTTTTGCACCTTTCAGTTTGAAAATATTTATCCACTTTTATCAATCAGTAACTTGAAAAATGGATTTGAGAAAATTAGCAGGGGTAACCAAATCATTCTGAAGCAACACCACAAACTTTTTGATTTGCTCTGATTTTTATTTGAGTCTGATTTAGAAACGTTTGTCAATTCAAAACCTGAAATTGTTGGGGGAATCAATTCAATCTGTTGCCCTGGACCTGCAGGATGGATGTAAAAATTTGATGGACATGACTGGTTGATGCTTGAAGGAGTCAAGTGAAGAGGTCACAAGGCTGTATTTTTTTGAGAAATTGTCTTGGTCAAATATTTGATCGATCGCTCCAGTGATTCAAACTGTCTTAGCCTGACTACTTTGCAAGTGYGCTAGAAAAATGTAGCTTCATATAACACTTTGTTTCAAAAATCGATCAATGATTAATCTAGTTATTCTTTCCCTTGGATGGATCGTGCATCATTCTATTATTGTTTTCCTCCATATTTAGTAGATTCCCTCTGGAACATCCATTTCGTTCTTGTAGATCTCTTCTAATGGTTGACGTTTTCTGATAATGTGTGGTTTGCCGTCGAAGTCCACCAGAACTTCCGGTGCTTCGGGGAAGGAATTGTAGTTCTTGGTGCTCATTCCAGCGCAGTAGGCACCGCTCCCATCCATGACGAGTAAATCTCCGATCTCGGCCTTTCGCAGAGTTCGTTCTGCCAAATCTTCGGGCTCACCTGGCTTAGGTGTCATCAAATCTCCACTCTCACAGCAATGTCCAACGACAATGACGTCTTCGGTTTCGGATCCAATGTCTTCCGATTTTCCGGATGCGGGAAGGATGGTCATCGGGTGAATAGCTCCGTACAGAGAAGGACGGAGGACGTCGGTCATACCCGAATCGAGTTTCAAAAAGGTGYGGCCATCGTCACCAGTTGTCTCCACCTTGTCCTGGATGGTAGAAACCAAGGCTCCACTCATCGCGACCAAATAGGTTCCGGGCTCGATTTCCAAATGCAATTCTCGGCCGTTTTCTTTGGCAAAGTCACGGAATGCGTCCGCAACGGGTCCTCCAATCTTTTGCAGATCGGTCGTGACCTCGCCCTCTACACGTCCGACCTTGTATCCACCTCCGAGGTTCAGTCTTTCGACGGTCGACCAAACCTTGCAGAAGGACAACGATTTGGATGCGACCTGCTGCCAGACGGCGGGGTCACTGCCCGATCCAATGTGTGTGTGGATTCGCTCTACTGTGAGACCGTATTTGGCAACAATGTCCGGAACGGTTCCGTCTTCGATGAAGCCAAACCAAATTCCGAAGGAGGAGGCTGGTCCACCGACATTGGTTTTGGAGAACCCAGAAGTCGACGACGAAAATCCTCCGGAACCGGTTCCGGGGTTRACACGAATTCCAACCTTTTGGCCGGTTCCTTCGAAGGCCTTACCAATGCGTTCAACTTGGGAGATGGAGCTAGAAACAAAGAGAACAAAAATAATCAGAATTCCAGCARTGCATGCAAACGCAAAATATTTTCTCGGAAAGAATTTTCGGGTCGACATGGTTTATTTGTGACAAAATAAAGATGTTTTTTTTCTTTCGTCCTTCGTGCACCATGCAGACATGAAAAATATTCGAGGGCCAATAATTGTGATTAGGGCTAATCTGCTTTTGCCCTCCCTTTTGCTTCTTTGCGAAAGAGACAATCAAGACTTGCGCTTACCATGCATTGATCTTGACACCCAACTTGATCAAATCGGCAAAGTTTGCGGGGAGCTCCTGCGTACTGAGACTGATGTTCTCGGCMGGAATTCCGGCGTCCATGGCGCGCTTGACCTCGAATCCCGAAGACGCATCGATGTGGATGCCCTTCGACGAGAAAAACTTGAGGATCGCCGAGTTGGGGCAGGCCTTCATGGCGTATCGGACGGTCAATCCGTAGGCGTTGGGGAAGGCCAGGCAGGCATCGGCGGATTCCTGGAGTTTATCGAGGGAATAGGCAAAGGTGGGGCTCCCGGCAAGGTCGGTGCAAGCCTTGGCGGTCTCCGCCGTCAAAAAGACGGAGGTGTCCGCGGGGGCGGAKACGGTTGCCGCGAGAGGGGCAAGAGTGGATCGGCGGTGTTGCTGAACRGGAGCAAAGGCGTTACTGGACGACAAAGTWGCCGCGGCGACAAAGGCGATTGCTGTGGAGAAACGCATTGTGAATTGTTGAATTGTTTGGTCTTATGTGAAGTGCCGCACTATCTTGTTTGTCGRAATCTCTTGATGTCGTTGTCAAAGATATTGTAACGGATGTGTGTCTGACGAAGGGTTAGCGAACGTTGTAGTGTATTAAGGTACAGCWAAATAGAAATTTCGAGTTCGTCGGTTTTGGATTTTCGTAGGTTTCAGATTTCTTTCTCCGCGTCACTTTGTGCGGTCGTGATGATTGGAGGTTGTGCATACAAACGTGCGTGGTCCGAAACAGCTGCAGGCTCATGGAAAAGGCGCTCATCGCGGGTGCAATTTCAAAAGTGCTGGAAGTCTGCACGAGTGAGTGCGGAGGCACCCTCGTGATTGCTTTACTTTGAAAAGGGACTCAATCTTACTGTAACAAGTAATGGTACCGTACATATTAGCCGTAAGATAGCGGTACGTTTGCTTGAAAAATACTAGTAGTAGGTACGTATGTACGGTATAGTACTATCGTACATTCGATGTAAGGTACGTACCAAAAATTAATTTGATTTCTAATTTGAGAAAGATTAATTCAATTGTTGAACAAATACACAGATACTCGTAGTCGTCTACAAATAGCAAATAGGGYAAGAACTCCCGTTTTTCCCAGAAGCGAGAAATACTACTWCTTCTTTGCCCAAGTGTCGAAGCCAGCAATAACATTTTCAACGACAACATCGTATAGCATATAATCTCTCCACGAGATTGATTGTATTCAAGGAATATATATCAGGAAATAGCCACGAGTTCGATCTATCACATTTCGGGTTTAWGTCATGCCAGGCACTTGAATATAGCTTCTAACGTCTGATRTCATCACCCGGAGAGAAAAGGTGTCACTCTTGAATCTGTGTTGAGCGTCATGCGCTTTCTCGAAMACTGTTGGTAGCAATAAAGATATTGGCTAGCGAAAAAAAATTATCCAAGTGATTTGAAAAAGCCYACCCATTGCTCATCATTGAAGATATTTTCGAAATCAACATCGCACAATTTTCCACTTGGGAGATACGCGKCAAACGTATCTTCCAAATCCGATGTCTGTTGATCCGACCACGTCTCATGAAAGACAGCTTTCTCRCTCTCTAAAAGCCAGTTCTTGATTTCGCTGATTACATCATTGTCACATTTGAGCGGGATCCGCTTATTGAATACCTTAGTATACCGTTCGATCTCCGAAACAGCCCTTTTCCTTGAAATACTCTTCTTCATTGCACCAATTTCTCTCGCTTTAACGGCAAGGATATCGATATTCAAATTTACAGACATGTTTTTATCTCTTGGTGATCTATTCGAGTCGTACTTCAGGCGGTTGCAACAATGGTGGGCGTCTGGAACGCTATTGCACATGAAATTTTTCACCATATCGCCGTCTTCATGCATATTGTGCACGACCACGTTGCTAAAAGATGAATTGTATGCGTTTATGAATTCAATGGTTCGRTGCTTCTCCACGAATTCAGATGGATCCCAGTTTTGAGTAAACTCTTTGTACCACGTAGAAAAGGCGGGAATATGAGATCCTCCTTTGTCGGGCCATACTGTGTGCTCTTTTCTATAGGCGTTGCCATTTTTATCAAAGAGTATGTTGCCGTTCGAATCCTTGTTTGTAGTCTTATTGATCTGATTATACCAACTCACAAGCCACTGATGTATGCGTCTATATACTACAATAACAGTGACATCCCAGTCATTATCATCAATGACATCCCGCAATGCCGGGGAGAATCGATCGCCAAGATTCTCATCCGATAAAAGMAGATTTCTACCATWKTTTTTTGCGGTCTGTAGCAACCGTTTCAGTCTGGGGGAAGATTTGCAGTTTTCAAGACCACCCCATTTATTTTGATCACAATTGAAGTAACCGCTGTTCCTATGAACGAATGCATAAAGATAATTGTCGTTCTTCAATGGTTGACCCAATATGCCATAAGGCGCCCATGCATCCTGAAGGGTCGTGGACCCAGTTTTCTGAGGGCCAACGTGCAATACGAGATTCTTCTTCCTTCTTTGCGCTTCTGCATTTTTCCCACCACGATTGTTTAAAGGAGATGCGACGTCGGGCTTTGAAATGGGATGGGATGAGGGTGGTTCAGTAGGCAGACCTAAAGATGGATTCGGACTAGGTTTCTGTGTTGGTTCCGGGACAGGAGGCTCTGATGGATTCGGACTGGGTTTCTGTGTTGGTTCCGGGACAGATGGTACCGATGGATTCGGACTGGGCTTCAGAGTTGGTTCCGGAGCAGGAAGTGCCGATGGATTCGGACTTCGTCTAGGAGTTGAGACCAGCACAGGAGATGTGGAATGACTGTGAAATTTCCTTAGGGAGGAACTTTCCTCTTCCTTGGTCGTAGCGTTTCCGTGGATTTTGTTGTCTTTATGTCGATCCACSACGCTCTCGGATACAGCAGTTTTGACCGGATCTTTCACGGACTGACTGGTGATGGCGATATAAATATAAGACGAAAAAGCTAGTGCAATGAATGCGATGGCCGGTCTATAGCGGGGARMGAACGATGCTCGTCTTCGCTGGACCAGATCTCTACTATTACGATYGCTTCTATCATTCGACTGCAAAGTATCGAACTCTGAMAGCATCGGAACGTCCTCGAGATCGCCGAGATCCTCGCCCGAAGAAAAGGAAGACGACATCGAGTATTCGAGTGAGCTGCCGGAAGGACTTGTCGAAATCTCTACATCGGCATTGTGTGGCCTTTTCTTTACTGCGAGAGAAGGAATGKTTGCATCCATTGCTGGCCTCTTCCTTCGCAAGACATCGATTGATAGCGATGAATGGTTCTCTAGTTTTCTTTGTGAAATGTCACTTCACGATATGGCTACGATTTCGTACCGGAACCACGGATCGGCTGAAACTACGCTCCGGGATTTCGAGTTCGTACTCGTACTCATACGGGTACGTACAGACTTCGTTCCATTACAGTATTTAGTAGTCCGAGTACATAGTACCGTACTGCTGTATTTATGTACCGTAAAAATTTAAAATTTAAATCACYCGTCGGTGATTGAGAAACAAGCGTGCCATCCCGGTTTAACGCTCAGGAAAAAAAAACGGAGCATTACGGCTTAGATATAACCCCTTATAAAAAGCCGAACCTAGTGATTTAGGCTCACAACTACAAGTACTTGTACGAGTTACTTGCAACCAAAAAAAMCAAAAAACGTTTCCTCAACTTCTGGTATGATCCACAGGTACGCTGAATAAAAACGCGACTAGAAACTTGAAGGATAATGAAAGCTCGTAGCGGTATGCATGAAGTTCGTCCTTCGTAATTCTGAGTACTACTACTATCTCGAAGCAAGTCGTTACTTCTAGTACAGCACTGGTGTGGTACTATTRCTGCACTACCACTGATTTGTTGCAAAGAACAATGCGAAATCTTTTTTTWCAATATTCCCAGAGTTAGTCAGAAACTGCGCTATAGATTTATTCCTTTTTGACTGCCGAAAGCGCGTCTAGGATATCGTGCAAGTCCGGGACGTCACAAAGCCCTCGGTCTACCCACGAGTATAAAGCGTTTCCACCTTTTCCTACAACGGTGCACCCACCGTGTTGCGTCAGGCAGCGATCGTCGACCGGCTTCAGCTCCGACCAGTGCTTGATCTGGATGCCAACKAGGCTCTGCAGGCGCAGGGTTGCCAGTTCGAAGGGCCTCCGCCCCCATTTCCCGACGCCTAGTGGGGCATCGTCGAACTTGTTCGCAAGGATCCTGTTTTCGTCRTTTTCGTCGAGTTCCAGTATCGAGGGCCAGCGTCCAGAAAGCTGCCCCTGCTTCAGGGACTCCTCGATCCACTCCCTCCGTCCGTTGGGGTCGCCGAAATATCCCGGGAGAACCGCTGGCAAGGTCATCCACGGCGGTCCGATCCCGATTCCCGAACAAAATTGTTTCACAAAAGGCGACAGGGAATCRTCGTCRGGCCGGAAGCCCCTRCTGACTCCGAATGCTCTGCCCGCTTCTCCGTGCGGATCGGACAGCAACTCGATTTCGACTCCTCCCCCGCCTGTGGGAAAGTCGAGGAGTCTTGCCACGAGTTTGCACTGCGTCGGTTCGCCGTTGACGACCATGAGTATCCGATCAATGCCCCCCCTTGATTGAAGTTCCGGCAGGAATGCCCGGATCTTCTGCATGTATTCGATTGTGTTGAAGTCTCCCGCATAGGTTCCAAGCACCACCATCGTTTTCCCGTCGCCGGTGATACCGCTGAGCTCTGCACCAATGTCCAGCGCACTGCTGTCGTGTTCGGGAAAAACCTTTTGGACCGAAACCCCCGCGAGCGATTCTGCGGGTTTTGCGGCAGAAAGAGGGACGACCAGCGCATCGAGGGAACGAATGAAGCTCTGCTGGACAAACAGGGCAAGTACCAAGCACCAAGAAAGTGTCGGTGTGCACCTGATACCACGCGAGGGTGTTGGTAACATGATGGAGTTTGTGGATCCCTCTGTGTATCCTTCTTTGTTCGCTTCGACCGGTGTTCGGTTGTTTGTAAAGGTCTCACTTTTAGACGCACAAACGTGATCCCGTCTTTGATRTTGCTGAAGGAATCCTTGTAGACCTATTCTGGGTTGTTTGATCAACGAAGTGAATGCCAACAGTCCATCGGATTTCTTTTCTCAAAAATGAAATTCGAAAGATCGCTGACTACGATCGAACGATCGTTTAACAGGCATCATGTTACGAAGCATGACGGTAAGCTACGTACCTGCATCCTACGGTTTCGACCGATTCGACCGACAAAAATTATGCTGATGTTTTTACGGGACTCGCTCATTCCCGTTTTCGAACTCGTAAGTCGAACTCCAAATTGAACAGAAAAATAGGATCATGAAATGCTTTCGTCTTTCGAAGATCATCTGAACCGAAAGAGTAATGGTCCAGACGCCTATGTCCATACATGTCCCTTATCGTCATCTCAAATATCGAACCCAGAACGAACGGTTGGATCTTTTGCAATGGCGTTTTACGGCGGTAGAATCTCCATGCAAGGCCTCGGGAGGAGCGGTCTTGTGACGAAATGTTTTCACGGAAGTGAGCACGCAAAACTACGACGGCGGGCCCCCGTTRGCGGAAGGAATGTTGGGGCACTCCGTTCCGCGGCTTCCGTGGCGACCGGCGAAACGGTCGAAGCGGTTTTCGTCTTCCACCGACACGGGGATCGAACCCCCGGAAAATCGCTGGTGGCGGACGAGTTCGTGGAAGACGAGGCCTCGTTCTGGAGGACCAAGATTCCCCCCTCCGATCGGTCGTACCACCAAATGCTGTCCGAGCGCTTTCCGRTGATAAGGCCCGGTCTTTCCAACAAGAAAATACCGACACCGGAACAGTCGCCGTTTCTGTTGTTCAAGGAACTCCAGGGAGGGAACGAATCGTACGGGTTTCTAACGTGGAAGGGAATGCATCAAATGTATCACAACGGTGCCGCCATGGCCAAGCGCTACRGTTTGCTGCCGCATGGGTCCTTTCGAGATCATTGGGACATCGAGGCGTTTAGCACAAACTACCTCCGCACCGTAAAGAGCTGCCAGGCATTCCTGGACGGTTTGCTGAGCGACACCGTTTCGAAAACAACCGATCGCGTGCCACTGGACTACAAACAGCCCACCCATTACGAGGGCATCGATCTGGCAGAATACCACAGGGCGAGGACTACGAGCGACTACGACACCACGGTAGAGATCAAGGTTCGACAAGGCGAGAACGAAACTCTAAATCCCTTCGACAGCGCTCCGCAGCTCATGAAAAATCTCATGGAGGATGCCAAGGCCGCGCCGGACTTTATCGAGAGGGATGCTGGGGCAGCCACTCTTAAGGCACAGCTGCTCGAATATATACCGGGGCTTTCGCGGCATTCCTCGTCTRCCGAAAAAACGTCGGCACCTGTGGTAAATTGGGTGAGTCCGAAGGAGCGACTCGTTTTGTTGCTGTTTTTGTCATGGTCCTTGAGAATGCGAGCATCTCTCACCGCAAACCAATCCGTTTAYGTCCGGGGAAYCTTTGTCGATGTTTCAAGATCGACGCGGCCGACTATTTCGTGTGCCGATCCTCGCACTCCGTGCCGGTCCACAAATTTTGCGTAGACGAKGGGCGCGACAACGAGACCGCCGAAACAAGGTTCCGGTCCCTGGGTCGAGAAACTTTTTCGCACCTCTTGTCGCGGTTCCGAGGCTACTACGTGCATCYGCCGCTCCTGGCCGAAGTTGCGGGACCCGCGCTCGACGAGATTCGATCGACAATGAGGCAAGTTGTCGGGACTACCGAGGCCGACATTTTTGGTGYTGCAAAGAAGCCTTTCCACATCTACAGTTGCCACGACGTGACACTGTTGGGACTGCTGTACGCCGTCAAGGACAGATTTCTGATCGAGGACACGGATCGGTTCCGGTCGCTTTCCAGCCAATGGCCAACCTATGCCAGTTGCCTTACGTTCGAACTGGTGAGACGGACGGCGAAAGGAAAAAGCAAAGATGATGAAGAGTTTGCCGTGAAACTCTGGCTGAACGAAGCCCCGATCCCAAACTTTTGTCCTCGGCCTGTAGCACTTCTACAAGCTCCACAGGCAGAAATTGTGCATKCGATTGGACTAGAAGATTTCAACAAATTGATCGATGAGCTAAATGCAGAGAGAGAGTTTTATTGTAGCGGGAGATAATGAGATTGCATTTACCATATTATTATGTGTTGGCATCGCGATTGATTCGCTCGATAGTGAGTCCGTCCAGCACTACGCAAAGYTATTCTTGAAGAAGTTCACCCACGTGATATCCTCGATCTCCTTTTCTACATCAAAAGCGCAAAGTTTTCCGGATTCCATAAAATGCTTGAAGTCATGATTAATCCAMGCTATTCGTTTTGAAGTAAACCMGTCCCCCACTATTGCCTTCTCACTCTCGATCGTCCAATCATACAACTGCTTCGTAACTCCCGAAACACAGATTCGCGATAAAACCTTTTGCCTATATTGAAGTTTTCTCCCAATAGCATCCCTCACAGCTTGTCGCGTGAATTTCTTATTTAAAAGCCCCAATTCACGTGCCCGAACAGCTAGAATGTCTGATTCTGGGTAGTTGTATGCGAGTGCCTGCGTATTCGCTTTTTCAGCGTCTRCGACTTTTAATGCCTTACAGCTGTGTGTAGCTCCTGGAACTACATTGCATAAGAAGTTTATCACTAGATCGTCTCTCTGGTGATAAGCATAGAAATCAACGTTATCAAACGAAGATACGTAAGCATTTCGCATGTGCATGTTCATCTTCTTGATTTGCTCGATGGTGGAATCTTTKGCGATCGCAYGGAACCACTTATTAAAGCTGGGTATCGTGATTCCCCCTTCATCTGGCCACCTAGAGTGRTTTTCTCGCTTGACGGAATCATTCGGACCAAATAAATGGATAGAGTCCGGGTCGAGGTCATCGTAGTTGTATTCATGGTTATACACCATAAGAAGCAACTGGTCCAGTCTTATGTATCCCACAACAACCTTTAAATCCCATTTCGTTTCATCAATTGCTTCCTTGAACGCTTCGACAAATCGTTCGTCAAGATTATCGTCCGCAATAATAAGATTCTTCTCCACACCATCTRCAGACAAGAATAAGGATTTGAGGGTCGGTGATGCCTTGCATCCATCCGYTCCACAGTCAAAATGGTTATTCTTATCAATATCAACAAGGGTATAGTTGTCCTTCTGCAATGCATTTCCGTCTCCTGACAGTGTTGTCAAGGTATTATGGATCGTCTTAGCACCAATAGGCCCGACATGCAGCACAATTTTTCGTCTCTTTTCCTTCCCAATAGATTTGAAGAAGTTCATCCAATCCTCGTCTTGAAGGATTGCATCCTTGTCCAGATCACACATCTTGCCTTTTGCAACGTAAGATTCATAGACCTGCAATAGGTCATCTTTCGCCGCGTTCGACCATTTCTGATCTCCCACAACGACTTTCTCWGTGTCAACCAACCAATTRCGAATCTGATCTATCACTTCTGAATTACATTTTCGAGGGAGGACCTTGCTCGATTGCTTCATATACTTTGCCACCGCGTTGACAACTTCTTTCCTGGCCAGAGTCTTTGCGATATAACCCTGATCATAAGCAAACACTGACAGAATATCWAGATCCAAATTTATAGAACCATTGTTCCTTCTCAATTTGATTTCGTTACTTCTGATTTTTCCACAYGCATGATTAGCACCGATAACTTTGCAAATCATGTTCGTAACCATGTCCCCTTCTTCTTGGTGTAGGTTATAGAGGAGCACGTTATCAAAGGACTCAGAATAAAGATTATAGAATTCAATRCTTCGATGTTTTTTGGCAATTTCAGCCGGTTTCCAGTACTGAGTGAAGTTTTCATACCACGAAGAAAAGTTGGGAACGTAAGAACCTCCTTGATCAGGCCATAAAAGATGTTCGGTTCTGTATGGATCCCCCTTTTCATTGAATAGGACATTTCCATCAGCACCCTTATTGGTAGTCTTGTTGATCTGATTGTACCAACTAACCAACCATTCATGAATTCGTCTGTAAATTACAATCACGGTCACATCCCAATCCTCATCATTGATAACGTCTCTCAAAGCTGGAACAAAGGTGMTGCCGAGGTTTTCATCAGTCAAAAGAAGATCCTTTCCATTTTTCTTCGCCTTTTCGATCAAGGCTTTTAACGATTCCGAAGCTCTACAATTTAGATAGGCCCCCCATTGATCAATTTCGCAGTCAAAGTCCCCTTCTGCAGCTAGGATGTGACGGATGTAGATATTGTCGCCCATCAATTCGCCTGTCAACTCTGAAAGTTTATCTAGCATTGATTGAAAGGTTGACGAGCCAGTCTTTTGAGGACCAACGTGCAAGAAAAGTCGGGGCTTCTTTTCTCCCGTCMTGGCTTTTTCATTGTCTTTAATTGAATCGGGTGTCATTTCCTCGATTTGAGGCCAAATTGCAGGGTTCAAAGCATCTTCCTGGGGTGATCTATTATCTTCAAAGATTTCGAGGGCTTTGATGTKTTCAGTTGCACCGCTTTGCTTAGATTCTTCGAAAYTTCGTGCGTCTGGATTTTCGGTACCTGTTGTTTGATGGCGTGCGTCTGGATTTTCGGTACCTATTGTTTGATGGATTCGATTTTCATTCTCAAAAGAAGCGAGAGCGATTTTTTTTTCGGTGTAGTCTGCGACTTCGACCGTGTCAGTTAGGTCGACATCATCTTCTTTGGGGGAACTGGCAACCCTTGGTATTTGGGTGTTGATTCTGTTATGGCTAGTGCTATCGTTCTTGATTGATTCTTCGAACGGCTCCCCACCATGTATTTTTTCAAAAATATGATTATTCTTTTCCTCCTCTATCACGTGTTCAAGACTGTCGGCAGGCCTACGGATCATTGGCTGTGACAACGACCTGGAAACTCCCTGGTTGATGTAGAGGGACGATGCGACAAGGAACACCAACAGGAACATTCCAAAGCGATRAATAATTCTCTCTCTGGTGCTGYATACGACTCCTCTCCTCAGSAAGCCTGTGGGCTTCCCCAGGAATGGCTTTGACTTGGGGTCGTATTGGACGACCATTTCGTGTTTTTTTATGATTCAATTCCGCTTCACTTGATCCGCATTATCTGTGAATGTTCTGAGTTGCTATGGAGCCGATTGATAGCTGGGTTTTTCTCAAAGTGGTACAGATGCTATTGCGATTAAATATTTACGAATGGAAACTAACTGAGACCTAAGGTAATTTAAGTCCAGTGTGGAACAATTTCAACTCAAACCTGCAAGTCGAAGTCCTATTGCAAATACAGCACCGTAGTAGGTACGCTACTAAAATTCAAAATGATAAGACTTCAGAAATTATCTGTCGGAATCAGAAGTTACGATTTGTTGGTCCTGCAATGGTGGACTACGGTACTATGGGTACGGACAGTCCTGATTTTGAACCAGGATGAAACCGCCCCACGCCATGCCACAGATACGAGTACGGTGAGAGTACTAGTACGAGCTATAAAAAAATCGAATGCTAAAACACCCAGACAGACACTATTCAGTTCAAGAGTAGATTAATCGTACACTTCACGCGATCTAATTTTGAAAATAATTTTTGCAACGTCCGGCGCGAGGCAGGGGAACCATCACGAGGCACAAAAAATGTACTTCTACTACCTTTTGGGTGATTCCCGTTATTTTAATGGGCCCTCCGGAACCAACAAGCGCGAGTCCCCCCTTTGAAATCTAATATCAGGGGTATGATTTCGTGTTTTTTTTTTCAAATAAAATAACCCACAAAACGTGGGTTATTTTTCACAAAAAAGAACCCATGATTCTAAAACGTGGGTTATTCTTCACAAAAAATAACCCATGTTTTAAAACGTAGGTTTCTGGGTTCCTGGGTTAACCCACAAATAACCCACGAAAAAAAAACCACGAAAAACCCACAAACCTGCTGGGTCTTCTTTTTCCAAAAATTAAAAACAGTGATTAAATAACGTTAATGAATAAAATACTTAACATCCTTGGTTCTCCACCATCCAGATGACTGTAAATTTGTGGGTTATTCGTGGGTTATTTGTGGGTTCCTGGGCTCTTTCATGGGTTATTTTTCAAATAAAATAACCCACATTTTAGAAACGTGGGTTATTCTTCCCACCATGAAATAACCCATGATTCTAAAATGTGGGTTATTTTTCACCAAAAACAACCCACATTTTTCTAGAAGAGGAATTTGAAAAGGGGGATTTGCGCGTGGGTACCCGAGGGCACTGAAGAATTGCTAAGCACTAAACGGCCAGATTTAGCAGATTTAGCATTTCTACAGCAAGAAGGGGACTGCAAGGAATGCTGGCTTGATCACATTCTTTTTGGAAATTTGGAACCTTAACTTCAATGTGAAATATGACTAAAAAAGAGTGTAGTACAAAAAATTAAAAAAATTGAATCCCATGATAGTAGTACTACTCGTACTACTACTAAAAACTATCATTCGTGGGTTCCATGATCCCACCACTAGTACTAGTAGTAGTACCACTTACAACTTTTGTTATAAACGTGCTAATTTTTGGTCTACCAGTCTATCAAATAAGCAATTCTAGAATAACAGGAATCACCAATTACTCCACCTCCTGCCTGAACTTAAAAACAACAACTAGTACTGCCCCAAAACAAAGAAGTATCCCCCACCACTAGTAGTAGTACTATAAGAAGTCAGTAAAATTGGCTGCTAATAGTGTACATAAGTTAGTACAAGTACTAGTGGTACAGCTCAAACACAAAGTGAGCAGAATGCATACTTTTTTGTTGTCAAGCAGGTAGTAGTACTACAAGTAGTGCATGCATACTACTAATAGTACTTCTTCTGCACAAGAATAAAAGTGCCACTGCCAACTTGTCTAACTTGTTGTGTCCACTATGAGGGGGGGAAGCACCTAATAGTGGAGGCGTCGACTGGTGTTCTTGCCTCAACTGATAGGAGACCCATTGACCAATAAGCTCTGCGTTTCCTCCATAAAGAGGGGGGAAGTGCCGACAACATGTCAACAATCAAGAAGTAACAACAAACATAATGGATCAACAAAGCCACTACTACTTACTCCTGCAAATAAACTCAAACTAGTATAATATATATTGGCCCACTAAAAAGGACAGAAAAGTTCTACCTAAAGAGGACTACACAAACTACTAGTAGGTAATTTGATGCAAAAGTTGAGGATTTGAACTGGTGTTTTGTGTTATGAAGTAGTACTTTGCAAGGTGATGGTACTATGTCTTTTCATGCACAAGAAAACAATGCAGCTGCTTTGTAATGGTGAAGAGGAATACTTGAAAAAACTAGTGGTGCTGTGTCCCTTGTTGGATTTTGCAACTCCTCTTCTCAGTATGAGATCATCATCATCAAGAAGAAGTACAACAAGAAGTGTGGGAGTGACTATCAAATAGTGTGCTAGTAGAAAAGTGAGTTCGTGCTCTTATCAAGGATTGACAAACAAAGAAATCTACGATTGGTCAAAATGAAGATTGAGTGATGTGTGAATTAAATGAGTCAAGTCAGTCATGTGAGTGAGTCAAATGAGTCAAGTCAATTGTGTGGATCCATAAGATTAAATGAGTCATGAATGTGGAGTGGTATGAATCATAGGTATGTGTCATATATATGTGTCATAGATATGAATCATAGCTGCAATCTGATATCCTATGGACAGCACCCTCCCATGATCTGTGATGCGTACTAAATTGAGCAGATCAGAGCACCAGAAATGACAAGGAAGGAAGATATCAGTTGGGTGGAACAATGGCAAAGTGCCTGGAGAGTCGGCATACATGACAATTGTGAAGGACCCAACCAAGAGATTTGGTGAGTACATCTGCTGGAATGATTTTTCCGCTGATAAACTGCATCTTGATGTATAAGTCTCGTTTCCAATCTTGTATTGCAAAATATGGTATATCGATGTGGCGTGATCATTCAGTCAGGATTCCTGAGTTTACAATTTTGATTGTAGAATCGTTATCTTCATACAACGTTGTTGGCTGTTGTTGAGGAAATCCCAGGTCAGCAAGAATTGACCGGAGGTACAGAACAATTTTCACGGCAGAAATAGCGGCATAGAATTTGGCTTCAGTGGAGCTCTGCGCTGTTTGTGTTTGGGTTTTTGATTTATACACAATGGTAGCATTATCACAAATCTGGTGGTGGACTTTCGCTTTGGAGTAATATTTGTGTATGCAGAGTCAACTATGCAAGTGATGGTGAAATTGGTAGAATGAGTGGAAATGGTGGGAGATTGTCTGGAAGGGGAATCAGAGAATTGTCAAAGCTACCATCTGGAAGTTTGTTATTTTGTAGGATTGTAGTTTTGCAATATTGCAGACCCCACGTCTTTGAGTGTTGAAGGTATAGAGCGATACCTTTGAGGTATTTGAAGTGTAGGGCTGATGGGTTCAAATAAAATTTGGACATGGTGGATACAACAAAGCCAATGCCAGGACAACAAACATTGTATGCATAAAGGTTTTCACCAAGAAGTGTTTGGTAGGCAAATCCATGTTGTTTTTTTATTTCTTGTGATCCATAGATCATTCTGGCGGTCCATCTTCTTCACTGAAGATCCAATCCAGAGACTATTCAGGTAAGGGAGCAGTGGGATGGCTGATTAGCTTGTCTTTAGGTGTTGTCCAGCTATGTGATTGAGCAATTTGGTTGATGTAGTCTTCACAAGAAATTTCAATGTAGTGTTTTGTTTGGTTGATATCGACACCATTTTAATGTGACAAGACAAAATTTCTTGAATGGGATGTTCTTCTCGTCTTTCAGGAGGAGTTGCAACTTCTTGCCAATTATATCATATATTTCATTTGCAAGGGTAGCATTTGGTGAGGATATCAAGAAGTTGTCGACTTGTTGCAACATTAGTATTTTGGTATCTTTCTAGATTGTTTGGTAAATACATTTGTTGTGAGTCATCATGAATCTGAGTTCTTAGAGAAAAGTATTTTATTGATATGTTGTTCCCATAGCTGTCCAGATTCAGGATGACCTTGTAAGGCATGTTGTACAGGAAGGACATGGTTTGGATCAAGTGGTTCTCCAAATTTCCGTTTCTTGTACCAATCTGAGTATTGACCATCAATAGCAACAAATGGGGGTACTTCAGGCGGCGGAGAATGAGCATATGCATCTTTTGCATCACCAGCGTAGAGTTTGTAATTGAGGATGGTGGTGAGAGCAAAGAATAATCATTGCACTGGTTGTTCAATGCATGATGAGTATGTTGAAGCAATGGCATGGGGCAAAGGAGCAGAGCATTTTGATCCATTGCAACAGTTGTGAGATTGTTGTTCACCAGTTTTGCAAACTTGGTATTGCCAATGGGGTTGGTGTAATAGAATGGATTTTCAAGGTGATGGTGTTGGTTTTCCATACATTTTAAGGTCATGGAATTGGTCAAGGAGTTTGCATTCATCATTAACCATTGGTTCCAATTGTCAAGGTTCTTCAATTTTCAACAAGTGAAATGTGCAAGTGCCTCTTCTTCTTTTGTTGTTGTCTGTGATGCAAGAGAATTTATTGCTAGCCTTATCATTTCATCAGAGACTATGTGGGTTGGGACTTGGAAACCTGTTTGCAATGTAGTGATGGCACATATATGGCATAATTGATCTCAGCTGTTGCATTGAATTTGTCTGTTGGTGCATGTAAGTTGTATTCATCAACTTCTTTCCATCTTCTGACACTTGAGGCTTTAGCGACAGGAGCAAATTTGATTTCAAAGTTTGTAGCACCATTTGCCACCAATGATTCAAGTATAGTACTTGTAGACTGTTTATTGAAGACAGGCTGGTTATTTATCAAAACAATGTATGCACCACAGCCTTGATTTTGTGTAGATCTGTAAGTGGAGAACATGGCAGCAGCACTTGGTTTCTTGGTAATGTCCTTCAAGAAAGCGCAAATCCAAAAGGGGGACTGTTACATTTGACACAAACCTCTTCTGTACGGAAAATATCCTGAAAAAGTGACATATAGAAACATAGGTCATTGTCTTTAGTTTCTGTTGCATCCAGAGATATGTTGGAACCATTTTCGGAACATTGTAAATGAACAATGTTTGGTGGGATGTCTTGTGTTGGCTGGTCATTCATACCTTCATTGAATCAAGCACGTGATGCAATTTTGACACAAACGTTGGTTTCAATGTCATATCACAAAAATGTGCTTTTCCTTGAGTTATTTTTGAATTTAGCTGGTCTTCTTCCAGATGGACATACCCAAACTTGACAGCCATTCTTGCCTGTGGCAAGCTGCAGTGGTGATTTGGTTTGTGTACGTTGAGGCAAGGCATTCAATATAAGGAGAGAGGAGTGATGCCAAGAACATTGAAGTCAGGACTGTTTGGTGGTTCTTGGGGCTTATGACAATAATCAAGTTGTTCTTGTAAGCTGCAGCTGTCACAGCTGCTCTATTGCCCAGTGAAGGACATGGAGGAATTAGACTAAATTGCTACTGTGTCCAAAAATTGCATTTATTTGAATAATGCAATTATTTTCTAAATGATTCTGGTTTTGATTGCAGGTAGCATTTTCTTGTTGGTACTGGTACAGTTGAGGATGACAACCAATAATTAAGGATGGTGGTTGTTGACAGCAGGAATGTTAGCAGCTGAATGGGATCAGTCCTTGTTCTTTTTCAGAATCTTTCTACTACTAGTCAATAGTATAACAACATTGGCACATTTGATATAGTATGAATGTTTTTGATGGTGGTGAAGAAGCTTTTTCGGTATTTGTATTGCAGCGTTATTTTGATCAWATTATTTSTTGCCGTGAACACTTTTGGCTTCAAAATCTTGAGACAATTTAGTTACAAAAATCGCTGCATGAAGTCCATTCCTTCCCCATGTATAATGTGCATGAGCACMACAAAAAATCGACTGTTTCTTGTCGTTAATTTTTACTCTTTAGTACGCAGTTGCCTTCATCATTCCGTAGCGAAGAGCCCATTCGMAAAGCTTGAACGGCGCTAGGATGATATTCAGGGGAAAYGGAGGATTCAATCGGAAGTACAGCTGAAAGCTCAATCCAAGGGCCGCAAGTCCATAGGCAAGRTATTCGTCCACAGTCGAATTAGACTGKTCGTCTACGATTAGACCGCCCAGGGTGATGTTGCGTTTGCGAAGAACTTGATAGGCGGATCGTGCCAGCATCAATCCTCCCTGCAAGGAGCTAGCAAAAGCGACCTGGATCGAAGTAAGGGTCCAGGCGAGAGACATGCCAACCGTTCTGCAAGTCCTGTAAAAGCATGCACGAATGAATGCGAGGCAAAAGAAAGACTTTGGTGAGCAAATGTAACATGTTGGTGGTGAAAGAGATTGAATGCTTTTGGGAACGATCAGAGAAGAGATTTTCACTGAAACATCCCACAACAAGGTTTGATTTTCTACAGGAATTGAGCACCAAAGSAGCCATTWTACAAGCGACAAAAATTGAATGTCGGCAGTATTGCACATACCAGGGTATGATGATGGGAACCCATTGCTGATACTCGGGAGGGAGCGCGGTTGCCACGATGGGCTTGAAATAGCGGTCTGCGGGTTTCGCTAGAAACTCAGCGATTGAATTGGCCATTTGGATGGTACGGGCAAASTGAACGACCAAAACGGAAATGACCGCCAACCACACGCTGTAGATGTTGCACAGAGCGGTATTGACCTTTTCGGGATTCATCTTTTGCAAGACAAAGAGGGTCTTCTGCTTCATGTAGTCCTTGTTGGAGAGTTTGTCTGTACCGGAATCCTTGTCGTCCTTTTTGGATTCGTTGATGATCCTAGTGGCTTCTTCCGACAGSTCTCCAATCGACTTGACGACCAGGGCTCTGCCACCCTGCTCCGCGGCTTGCAGACCCGCAAACACGGTGGGGTACATGCCTCCAAAGAAACAGAACGCAAAGCCGATGATCGATTTCACGATGGCGTCGTCCAGCTTGATCCATATCGCATAGAGCTTGTTCCCGGTTTCAACCACCATTGGAATCAGAACGATCAGGAATTCCAACGCGGGTTTCGACAACTTCTCWAGCTTCTCGGCGAATTCTCTTGTTGTCTTGACGATGCCTTCCTTCTTCGCKTCGGTAGAAGAGCAGGTTTCCTTTTTGTCGGTTTCGGATGTCATGGTATGGTRGATGTCAATTGGTAAGTGATGTATAAGTGKTGACAAGTTCCTCGACTTTTTCTAGTGCGTTTAAACAATTTGATCGTATGATTATAATGCTGATTGTCTTCCAAGGATCATTATTCTTTGTTCTCCACTTGTGATCTTTCACAGCAGTGATTGTATCGTTCTTCGTACGACGAGTTCTCATAAACCACGGAGAAACGGGACATCACACTCCAAGTCGGGAATCATTTTTATTTTTACCGTATTAAAAATTGTTCTGTTGGCGAGCGTTCAAAAAGAAAAAAATCGACGGGGCACGATCCAATGTCACATCCAAAACCACATCTTGCATCTTGCCAGATGTCATCTGCAAGCTGATTATGTATTGTAYATATGTAACATATGATAAATACTTGTACCTTGTATGGAGTACAGTACTAGACTTCCATCACGAACCGATGAATACGGTACTGGTAACTCGTACTGTTCCCGAGGAAATTCAAGGGGGAATTTCCTTCCCGTGTTTCTCAATTTACTGTAACTATCTGCATGACTATGGCAGGGAAATATAACCATGATGCAATTACTAGTTCTTTCTCTCTAACAAAATAAGACTGTCGTTGTTTTATACCACTATCTTGCCGCTCTCGATAGATATGACGAACCACTTTTACAATAGTAACTTGCTTCATCTTCATTAGTTGTTCAATTTATTGCTCCGATCTCCCTCATCCTTCTCATAAGAATATTTTTACAGAAATCATTTTTTTTTTTCTAAAATACTTCGATAAGCTACAAAAGACCGACAATATGATGATCTCTGCTATGCCTCGAATTCGTATTCTTCTCAACATCGCAAGCTATTTTAAGAAAAGATGACTACCGGTACCACTTGATCATAGTAACATCATTTTAGGATTGAGAAACTAGTCGTGGTGTCTAGCAACGCCGTCCATCTCTACCAAGTWATCAAACCTTTGGGCAACCGTGCTTGACAAAGCCCTCTTCCAGTTGCTTGGAGTTCGAAATGGCAGGGAAGAAGTGAACCTGTCCCTCCAGGTTGTCAATGGTGATGGGAACTTCTTCTCGGTTTTCCACCGGGGTCTGGTCCTCCCGAAAGTACACAAGGATCGGAAAGTCTCTYGATGGCAAAAAGTCRTAGTTCGAGAAGCTGTCGTACCGCCACTTGTTCTCCCCGCCAACCACKATGTTTTCTTGCTCGAGGTTGGCACCGTTGGCCTGGACCAGAGAGAAAGAGTCGTCGTCGAAGGCAAACCGGAGGGTCGTTGTCTGAAAGGCCAAAAAGAGGGAGAACACGGTGAAGATAACCGCAAGACCYCCAAAGGGCTTGGCGGTGAGGAGTTTTTCACCGTTCTCGTCCCTCAGATCCTCCAGGAACCCCCCGGCCAGGCCGATGGCAAAGGCACCGATGGCGAGGTTGTAGGACGGATCCACCAATTCGAGACCGCCCACACCGAGGGCCGAGGAGGAGGCTTCTGCCGCCGTGTTCGAGAAAGCGGTGGCCGAAGAAGGCGCCGCATCGGTCGGCGAGAACGCGCCGCGTGTTTTGGATGCGGCGGGTGCCGAAACGACAAAGGCCGAGCTSCCGGACAGCGAATTCTGAACAACCAGCAGGGCTAGGAGAAGATTGTTGCGCAAAAACATCGTTKTGGGATGTGTTGAGGGAAGGACGGTACAAGAACGCTCCGGTGCGAGTCTATCGGTGCAAAGATTTGGTCCTGACCCWGCTTCTTTCTTGGAATAAAATGCAGGGTAGTGAAATTGCTTTCAGTTTCCATTTCCRATCGGGTTCCGATTGAAGTACGGTAACGAACGATGTTGAAAACGGGTTGGATGACGATAATTGTGACGTTCTTTTGCAGGACTGAAATATTCGTGACCAAAAATCGCCGACAATCGGGGGGGATTTTGAAAACGYATCGATCCTGCTCGGRATTTACTCAGACCCCCCCTAACTGAGAGCATCAAACTGAAACCAGGGACAAGAAGGAAGGAATCACGCAAGGCTGTCACAAWGCGCTACCCGAGTGCATTGATAGTGACAAAACAGAATTGTCGCTACAAAACACACACACACTCAACCCGCACGGTGCGGTATGTAGATCWGTATTACGCGGGAGTTGGTGCGCCACAACATTGCCACGATGTTCCGAGCAAGGCATGCGGTGATGCTTTGGGTTGGCTGTGCGTGTTGCTGTTGCATCGTTCGACCTTGCGACGGATTTGCGATCGTGCGTGTTCCGGGGCGGGACCGCCGGCTGCCATCGAACCCACGCCCCCCTTGGATTGCTGTCTCGAGACCGGGGTCTTCCCGAAGCGATTCGTGGAGCAGACAAAAGCTACAGCGCATTCTTGCGGTCGAGACGGATCTCGAAGAAAACGGCGTCAGGGGTGAGGAGATAGAAGACGAGGAATCCCTGGAGGAAGTCTCCATTCTTTGTCCTCCGAACTGTTACGGCGRTGCCAACGATGACGAGTCGGTACCCGATGAACGGTATCTCCCGGACGGCATCGAAAGCGGCGGGGAGGAAGAAGACGACGAGATGTTCCTCCGATCGCTGCCTCCGTCCGGCGACCCCTTCCCCACCGCCGCCACCCTCGCCCCCGCCGAGAATCTCCACGGACGGCTCTTGTGCGCCGCCGGGTGCGCGTACGAGATCGAGGCTCCCTACGCGCAGGGCGCCGGGTTYGTAGCCGGCAGCAAGATCACCCGGCTGTCGGTYGGCGTCAATTCGTGCCTGGTGGGGCGCACAGAGGACGGCATCGTCGTGGCCTTTCGGGGCACCCAGGCGGGATCCCCCCTGGACTGGCTGCAGAACGCCGCCGTGGCGCTGCGCAGGGTGCCCCAGGGCTATGCGCCTCGGGGGTCCCGTGTCCACGAGGGGTTCTACGGAGCCCTCCGCAACAAGCTGGGAAGGGCCGTGAGGGAGGTTCTACTGAGGCTGCTGCGGGAAGACGCGGAAGCAAGGGAGGACGGCAAGGGCAGCGATGGATCGSSACCGCCCCCACCGCCAAAGGTTTATCTGACGGGCCATTCCAAGGGCGGATCGCTTGCTTCGCTGTTCGCACTCGTGATGCACAACGACGAGGAGCTCCCCGATCCCGAGGGGGTTGTCACGTTTGGGGCCGCACGTGTGGGCAACTCGGAATTCGCATCCCACTTCGACCGGCTCATCGACCAAAGCACSTAYGAGAACRACCTGGACATCATTCCGTTCTTGCCACCGGGAGAAAACAGTATGCAAGACATGATGGCTGCGATGGAAGATCCGGAAAAAATGATGGTTATGATGGAGGGGTAGGTACTTTTGGTGGTGCACGTGCATGTTTCAGAACGAGTCGTTCGTCCGCATCGACATGGTACTGCATGAAAGACAGCAAACAAAAAGCGATAGATCGATTCTCTCTCTAACCCGTTGTATTTTTCGATCACCATACAACCCAATGTCTTTTTCGTCCGGCGCGGGAGCGCAGGATCTTCTGGTCCGAGGAAGACCGCAAGCAGCTGAAGCACAAGAGCTGGGGATGGAACGGCCGAAAGAACAAGCCCTATGCGTTCTGGAGGTACCATCCCATTGGCAACCGCAAATACATTTCCCCCGACCGCACCGTGATCGAGCCCGTGACCTCCGACCTCGACGCCTCGCGGATCCGTGACCTCGAGCGCAAGACCCTGCTGCGGTTTTCCGAGTTCCGCAAGGCCCACTGTTCGGCCTGTCCCGACGACCTGAAAGGACAAGAGGGAACGTGCGACGGGGGATATTTTTCCGCCCTCGCTCCCGAGGTTTGCAGGGCGTGGCGTTCTATCGAAAAAAAAGCWGAGACGGCGACTAAGGAGACGAAGACGAAGAATGATGCCCAATAGCGACAGATCATAACTAGAAGTATTAGCTTGCAGCAGCGGTTKCTTGTCCAATTCATCATGCTTTACAAGCTACTACMAATACTAGTACTTTTTCCTGTTTTGCAGGGATTGGATTAGTTCCARTAGCAATACGAAGTTAACTTTTTCTGAAGTRCACTTTCCTACSGTACGGTACAAWTTTTCCTCTTCTGTCCCAAAGAAAACTGCAATCATACGGTAGTATTCTACAGAACATACGAGTACTGGTACTAATACCGTGACGTCATGAACGTAAYCGGAACTCTTAAAACCYAGATGACGTCACATCAGTGACTAAGGGAATCGTGCGAAAACAGAATTTGCAAATTTGGAAGATTTTTGATTTTTGGGTATGAACCGAAGAAAAGGACATACGTACTACTCATCCTTTCTACGGTACTTCTACTACGGTTCGCAACTAAAATGACCACCCATTGATTTTGTTGTGGAGAGGTCGGCATTTGGAAATCCGTGCGCCATTTGTTGCCTGCCGTTTTGAAAATTTGACGGTTGTCGGAGCCTCGTAGACCGTCGTACTTAACGTACGAGGGGATCCTTGCATCTTGAAAAGTTCGAAACATGGAATTCGTACCGGCACAAGGAAATTTATGCTAGCAGTTGTACGGTAGAGCTTGAGATGCGCTTGTTCTTGCACTTGGCTTACAATCCCGAAACAATACAATAGAAGTCATTCTGTACAGCACGACGACTTACCGGTCGCACTGACACAGATACCGACTCCGACAGACAATAGGCAAACGAAGGAAAGGAGACAAGGACGAATAACAGAAACCGCGGCAACGCTTGGTTTGTTCCTTTCTTTTCCCGGCAAGAAAGATGATGGCAGTGAGGCACCGAGCGGTGGCCCTCGGGGGCAAGAGGATGGCGGCATCGAAGGCACCGGTGCCCTTCCGATCGCCCATTCTCCGGGGCTCTGGCGGCGGCTTCTCGACGTCCGCGTCGCCCCCGCCGCCCGCCTCCTTCTTTGGCCGGATGTGGGCCAGCTACACGGAGGCACTCATCGCCCGGCCCCTCCTGGTCAAGGGAGGGGCGGCCTCGCTCATCTTTCTGGTCAGCGACAGCGCAACCCAGAGGCTGATGAACGGTCCCGAGGCGGAATGGGACGGATCGAGGGCCCTGAGCGGTGCGGGCTTTGGGGTGGTGGCGACCTGCTGGCTTCACTACTGGTGGGGCTTTCTGGAGGTCGTCGTCAACAAGCGGCTTCCGACCGGGGCCTACGGGCAGAACAAGTTCGTCAACGCACTCGGAAAGGTCGTTGCGGACCAGCTGGTGGGCGCCCCGCTCTACATCTACTCTTACTACTGCGTCACCCATTTTGGGAAGGAGTGGATGGCGATCCGGGAGGGCGCCGCCGGCACCGACGACGACGACACCGGTCCCGACGGCGGGGAAGCGGCGGAACCCTCCGGCGACAGCCTTTCCTCCGCGGTGTCCCTCATGAAGGACACCTCTGACCGCGCCCTAGAAATGCTTCCCGACACGCTCCTGCGGCACTGGACGCTCTGGCCCATTGTCCACACGCTCAACTTTTACTACAATCCCATCCACCACCGCGTCCTGGTCCAGAAYATTGTGCTGATTTTCTGGTCCGGCTACCTCAGCCACCTCAACAACGGCGGGCTGGACCTCGTTACGCCGGAAAAGGAGGTCGACATGGTGGTCGAGAAACACCAGGCCGAGAAGCGGGCGTAGATCACGACGGATTGGGCCGCGCGATTGCCCGGCGGCAGCGAGGACACAACATGGATCGGGGTGACCGGGTTGCCGAAAAGCCGGATGCCATGTCCTCCGATGACGCATCGAACATCTCTGGGTTGCCAGTCGCAGGTACATCCAAACTTTGAAAAGAGGGCAYTCTATTCGGCGTCAATCACGCGATCCGATTCGATGCGAAAACAAAATCGAACCAACAACGAAAMGAAACACAATTGGCCCKGGGGAATGATCCAGCTAGCTCGTGTAACAAGACCACAGCAGAAAGATAGAAATGCACGGGCGKGATACCTTGGGCWACAGAAGAATTCATTCATAYCATACCGTGGATTGGGACGACGGAACATGCGTCGAAACCACCGACCAATCCAACCACCGTCTTCAGTCGTGCGTTGCGGTATCCAATTGACGTTCATGGTTGCAAAATCCCGTGCCCCATCCCYACTCACTCCAATCCAAGCTACTGTATGTTGTATACTGATTTGAGGAAATCTTTGGCTGCTTTTCTCGGTTGGAATAGTATTAGCACCGAAGAAATTACTAKTACGTGTAATTAACAAACCATACAAACTGTATAATTGTACTACTGATTGACATACTTTTTCATGTAGTGAGTATTTTCGGGTAAACTAGAAGTTTTATCAATGCAAAACAGCGTTGCCATGTTTTGCTCTCGCAGCTCAAAGCACAAGGGCAGCGACATTTCTTTATTTCCTTGTTGTTGACGGTCGATTTCGGTGAAGGGCAATTTGGGATAACCCCATCCTTAAACGTAATAGAGGTAGTGGGCTTTCTGGGTGCTTCGCTTCTTGAAAAAGTGTCTCGTCTTAATTTAGCAGCTATTGTGAGATCAGTACTGTTCTGAACGTTACTTTCCAGTAGAACGACGAGACAGGCAGCAACGAACGGTACACGTCGGCTACGAGCACCAGTACTACTACCATTCATACAAYATGTCGCTCGCGTACTTGTATCTACGAAGTACGAGTACGTACCCGTACTGGTACATGCCACAACACATGCAAGCAGGGTGTTTTTTAACCTCCCTTTTTGTACCGTTTCGTACTGTGAAGCGCATGTGCATCGGCAACAACAAGGCAAGCCATCAAGAGGTCAACGAGTCAACCATATCTCATCTCTCTGGATATACCGTACGGCACCCTATAACGATTCTAGCGCAATTKCCGCGATTTCATTTCATTGCCACACTACAAGGACCGTGCTACGGACGAAAGCCATTGGCGAGCCAGAAGCAGGTTATAATTAGCCAGAGACGTTACAAGCAGACAGACAAACGAACAGAACCATGATGCTGAAATTGCTGTCTTCCAGGTCGGTAGCGCAGCGCGCGAGAGGCGCCGTCGCCCGCCGYGGCATCCACAGCCGCAGAAAGATGAAAAACCCCGTSGMCCTCCCCAAGGCCCTGGTCGCCCATTTCCCCGTGAAGCAAACGGCCCCTGGCAAAGCGGAGGAGAAYCCGGCTTCGGAGGAACCTCTCTACAGTTCCCCCGTGACGTCGGCCCACGCCATCGACCTCGAGAAGGAGGCCGTGTCCACCCTGGACTCGGCCGCCATCGATCCGAGCGGCAAGGTCGTCCACGGTCGGTACGGAGAACTCGACGCGGATGCCGTCCTGGGCGTTCCCCTTGAATACCTCGCCCTCCTGCGYCACGCGGCCGAGGGCGCCGCCGGTCTGTCTAAGCTGGGAGGCAAGGCCGGAACGGTCCTTGTCTACGGAGCCAGCCAGGCCAACGGCTTTGCGGCGGTCCAGCTGGCACAAACCGGAAGCGCCAACGCCGTGGTGGGCGTCGTCGACGGGCAGCACTCCGGAAACGAGGACATGGTGGAGTACGTCAAGGGGATGATCCCGGAACCGGGAACGGCCGTCACCCAGGAATACGCGATCGCCAAGAAGAACTTTATCGACCTGGTGGACGGGATYTCCGGGGGCGACGAGCAGCTCGCTTCCTACACGGCGGCCGAGTGCCTCGAGGATTTCAAGGCCAATCTTTCCGCCTACGCCGAGRCCTACCCCGATACCATGCCGGCGGCGGTCAACTCGTCCCAGATCAAGTTTTTGGGAATGGAAAAGGACAAGGACCAGTTCCGGGCCAACATGGACGCCTACCTCTCCCAGTTCAACCCGGGATCTCCCCCCGTCGAYGAGGGACARCTGCAGACGAACTTTTCGACCGACCAGTACGAGGTCTTYCGAAACAAGTTCTGGGAACAAACCACGAACGTCGTTTCCGGAGACGAGTCGCACTTCTTTTCTCCCCCGCACATCGTCCAGGACCTCATGAAGGAACCCGAGTCYAAGCCGGCTCCGCTCTCGACCGGGGCCTTTGAAAAGTCCATCCCCTTTTCCTTTTCSACTCTCAAGCAGGAATACCCGACCGGAACGGAGGCGGACGCCGGCGGACCCGTCGTCGGTGCGATCATTTCCGTCACGCCCGACCTCAAGATCGCCGCGGACGCCGTTGCCAAGGCCGGAAGCCTCCGCGAGAAGGCCGAGGCCCTGGAATTCCTGACCGATGCCCAGAAGGACGCCTTTGCGGCGGCCACCTCGGTGGCCTCACAGGCCCAAAAGGCCGGAGCTCCCGTAGTTGCCATTGGAGGTAAGATTCAACAGACGACGTTCATCGATTAGATTGTTTGTTTTCATWGCTGTTGTTGCCRWTGAGCATTCTGTGTTTCTGTTGCAGCAAGCCCCAAACGAGGAAATTTTGCGTGCTGGGCTAGAAATTCGTGGTTCGCCATGGTGCCTGTCATCTAACCGAAAAGATGTCTGTTTTCTTTTTCGTGCCCATTGAATTTTTCGGAACATCGAACGCAAACCACGCAAACTGTTCATCCCATCGGATCTCTCGCAACAGGAACCCTGCCCGGAATCGAAACGGCCGAACCCACCGACGCGGACGTCGCCACGGCCCTGTCGGCGATGGCCATCCAGGACGACGGTTCCACCAACCTGGATTATTTCATCCAGGCCTATCGCGCGGGYGATTTCCCCTTCTACGCCGACTACGCCGTTCACAGAGCAACGGAGCCCCTGGCCGGACCCCGGCAGATCGTTGTGACCAAATAATAATACAACCAGGCGAGCGGGCGAATAGACCAACCAATGAGCGGCGACGGAAGGAAGGGATCCGGCAATCGATTTCTGGGTCGGTGAGTTGTTGGGTGGTCTTTAATGTCAACCAACCAGCGTGCGAATCGAAAACAACCAGATGAGAGGGAGCGAAGGATGTTGTGTCTCTTTCGGATCGATGCWCACACTTTATGCTGTTCTCGCGGGAGCAGTTGCGGTTTCGTGAGAACGGAATCACACCCAAAGCAAATAATAAAATAACATAARAATAAAAGAGTTTCCCGTCATAGATGTTCTAGATTTATTCTAAAGGAGTTTGTCAGCGAATTGTGGTTCTACCACGAGGACGAAACACGAYTGGCACAGATGCAACARCACGTCACGGCGTCTAKTACGGTATCGAACGCATGTTTCATYTCCCGATTCGATCTGGGGRYAGCTTTTTGSCATCGGTTGTGGACAACGATTTTATGGTACGGGKCACTATTKTTCGCTCTTATCGTTCCCATCATCCTATTCTCGCTTTCCTTGCATCATTCCTACCGATCTGCATTGTGTTTGTTTTTGGCACCGTGGATGACAGCTACGGGAACTGGCAACGCAACCGAATATTCTTKACCACCAGGCATATACACTCCCGCCTGCGAGGCATTTGCATTCCCGATAGCAAGGTTTCGTTTGTGTGAAAAAAAAAAGAAGACCCATGCCGGAATTGTATCATTTTTTCTCAAAAACTCCGGAAAAAAACCCGACACCGCCCGACTCGTGCCGTGCTGCACGGCGGGGGACCGCAGCCGTGCCACCGGGATCCGATCCGGCTCGGTGGTYGCCGAATGCGAACGGACGGTCACCCCTCTTCCGCGACGTACGGGTGCTGGTAGTACAGGATCCAGTCCCACAGGACGGTCTCGGCCAGGCCCCCCAGGAGGGGGATCCTCCGGAGGACCGCCCCCGAGGCCCCCTCCAGGGCCGGGAGGGTCGCCCTTTCCCACACCGGCCACCGCAGCAGGTACAGCAGGAGCCGGAGCCTGCGCCGCTTCAGCTCGGCCGCCGTGTGGGGGTTTTCGTAGCGGAGAGGAAGGGCGGCGGGCTCCTTTCCCGTTCCGCGAGCAAACGCGCGAGTGCTTTTCCGGGCCGCGGCCGGCGAAGGATCGGCCCCTTCCAGCAGCCGGAGCGAGAGGAGGTCCGCCGCCAGGCAGGYCACCCAGCCCCTCCAGAGCCGCCGTCTCGCGCCGCTGCCCTTCCTCCCGGCCCCCGTTCCGCAAGGGTGCCTCCGGGCCTCGACCCAGGCCCACAGCAGGGGGCGGGCCGCGTACAGGAGCTCTCCGGCCACCAACCGGATCTTCGCAGCGATGGGGCTCGTGCCCGTGCCCGTGCCCATTCCCGGTGCCCCCGCCAGTTCCCTCCCGGTGCGCTCCCCCACGTAGGCCCTCCGCCTCGCCAGGTCCCTGGAAGCCTTCCAGGAGAGGCCTTGGGCGTCCCTTCCGCGGTCGAAGCGGTACATGCCGCCGTCCACCAGCACCCCGCTGCAAGCGGCCGCACCGCTTTCCTCCGCGGCCAAGCGGTCCTCCCCGGCCTTCTGCCACCAGTACGACACCAGCAGGCAGGCCCTCAGGAGAAACTTGGCCCGCTCGGCCCCCAGCCGGGCCCCCGCGGAAGCGGCCCGGGGGTTCCCTCCCCTCCCCGACGCCTTGCGCGCGGCCAGGGCCACGAGGGCCGGGAGGGCCGAGTGGACCGCGGTGAGGGCCGTCCGGAGGGCCGCCACGGAGGCCGGCGGGGGGTCCCTGGTGCGGACGGAGGCCCCGTGGGTGGCGTCTTCGTCGTCGCCGTCGCCGAGGGCCAGGTGGACCGAGAGCCGGTGGAGGGAGAGGAGACCGTAGCCGACCTCCCTCCAGGCGGCCTCCCCGGTGCAGGGATCGAGGAGATCCGGTGCCAGCGACGATTCGCCGGGCTTGCCGTCGCGGTTGTCGTTGTCGTTTTCATTGTCGTTGTCGTTGTCGTTGTCTTCACCGCCCGCCGCTGCCCCGCTGGAATGGGGGAGCCAAAAGAGGAGCCTCGAGAGGGCATCGTCCAGGAGGTCGATCGTGTCCCTGTGGGCCCGGACTCCCTCCCGGTAGCGGTCCCAGGCCACCGAGCAGAGGCCGGAGGGGGACAGGGAGCCCACCCCTTTTGCTTTCGGCTGCCGCCGCAGCTGCAGGCGCTCCGTGCCGCTCGGCTCCATCCGTGTCCTTCCCGAAGCGGTGGTGGTTCACCCCCTCTGTATCTGTGCGGGCATCGACGCCGGCGGGTGCAGGCGTCCGCTCTCGGATTTCGTGGGCCGGTTGTCTGGCTCGGCTCGGCTTGGCTCGGCTGGGCTTGGCGTGCGATGTTCCGTTTGTTGTCGGACGCAGAGACGGACAGAGTCGCTGGCGGCGAACGAAACGACGGAGGTTGCAAAGGCGTTGCGGACGCTTCGGTGCGATGCAGCGTGGTGTGGTGTGGTGTGGTGTGGTGTGGTGTGGTGTGGTGTGGTGTGGTGTGGTGTGGTGTGGTGTGGTGAAGGCCGAGCTGCTCCCTTTGTTGCTGTTGCTGTTGCTGTTGTTGCCTTGGTAGTGGCTTCTGTTCCACAGGAAACTTCCCTCTCGTCGTCCAAAAATATGATCCATTTCTGTTTCCATCGTCTAAAAACTCTGCTCGGCCGTCATTCCATCAAAGCGGAGCCCCGCAAAGAGCGTCGCTCGTTACCACCATACGTATGCACGGTACTCAAAATACTATATTTACCTAAAATACGTATCTACCTACACACCGTTCTGCCCGCGAGGTTTTTGGTTTTGCCGCACGACGTGTGGAAAACTCGAAATCAAAATCTTTTCGGAAACCAGCGCGCAGTATGTACGCGTGTACTGTACGTACTCTCCCTCTGGTGACTCGATCGGTGCGCGCCGCGAGATGCTTAGAAACAGAAAAAAAGGCAGGAAAAAGGGTCCCCCCCGCCGTATTTGGAGGAACAGTTCTTCGCAGGCAGCTCGTACGAGTACCGGTACGAGTACGACTATTGTCGTGACAAAATAATATTCACAAAATATCCCCTCGTCGACACCCAGAACAACATCCACCAACCAGCAGCAGCACTACGAGTTACGAGTACGAACTCGCACCTGTATCCACCAAGACAGCGATAGCTACAACCACTAACGGCCGTAGCCACTCCTACACCCCCGGCGAACAGCTGCAAGACAGACGGGACTTCCATGAGCAACAAGCGCAAGCGGCAGAGCCGCCGGTCCTCCGCCTCGTCGTCCTCCTCGGTCTCCTCCTCGTCCACCGCCGGGGCGGACTGCCCCTCCGCCGGCGCTGCCGCTGGCCCCGGGTCCGTCTTTTCCGGCTTTTGGTCGGACGCCGAGCTGGAGGCCGGGGCAAGGGGGGACCAGGAAGAAAGCGGGAGCGGAAAAGGCGGCGAAAAGGCCGACACCGACTACGAGGGCTTTTACCTGACCATCGGGGACGTTGTGTACGAGATCGGCGTGGGGGACGCGGTGGCGATGCGCAGCCCCGGGGGCAAGGCGGGAGACGCTGACGCCGAAGGGGCGGCCGGGAACGACCGGGACGAGCGGAGGCGCCGGCGCCTGAAGCGCATGGCCGAGGAGGAAGCGGCGGCCGGCGGAAACAAAGGCGCAAGCACAAGCGCAAACCCGAATCCGGCCGGCAAAGGCCTCCCGCCCAGCGACGCCGACTACGAGGCGGACGCAACCACCGGGGGGGCCGGGGGCTACTACCGCCCCGGGGAGAAGGAAGGGACCGCCAAAGGCACCGAGGCAGAGGCAAAGGCCAACAGCCGGCCTTCCGGTCCCGGCCCCAAAGCACCACCCCCCGCCAAGGCCGGCGACGGCCTGATGCTGGCCCGGGTCGAGCGGGTCTGGAAGGAAACCGGCCGCAGGGGCCGGGTCCTCTTCCGGGCCCGCTGGTTCCTCTCCAGGGGGGACGTCGACGCCCTCCCGCTGGGGGACATCGAGCAGGGGCCCATCGGGTCGGTCAAGCGCTTTGCGAACGCCATCACGGGGCACGACCTGGTCCTCAGCGACCAGTGCGACGACAACCACCTGACGACCATCTGCGGCCTGGTGCAGGGTAAGGAACGGATGGAGCAAAGTGCGGTTTGGCGGGAGTGCTGTCGCGATTTTGCGTTTGCGTTTGGGATTGCCTTTTTGGATTGGGATTGATCGTGGTTGCGACTGTTCTAGCTCCGCGGTTCCATCTTGTGTTGCGTTGATGCACAGCATGTGCCATGCGATGCGATGCGATGCGATGCGTTGTTGTGGAACCCTGCATACATCCAGCAATGTGCTGGTTTGTGCCATTCCGTTCGTGTCTGCGTCGGTTTGGAGGAATCCGAGTGGCTCCGATCGACTCRGATCCTTCCAGACAGTTAGAATCGAATCGCTGCCTTTGCTGTTTCCCCAAAACTCACCMTCGCTTGTTCGTCCCATCGATCCGGATCTTTTTCGTCTTCGAACCGACCATGCCGTTGCCGCAGTCCTGTACCGGAACCCGGCCAGCAAGGAGAAGATGCCCACCACGATCCTGCCCACGACCTATCTCTGTCGCTACAGCCTCCGCATCGACGACGGCCACCGGGTGGTCATCCTGCCCTACACGGGGCTCGAGGACGCCTGGAGCGAGATGACCCCCGACGCCCTCGACGCCAAGAAACGCCCGGCCGGGCAGGTCGACTCGGACCGCGACGACGAGGACGGYGAACCCGGATACCCCAGCGGCAGCCCGGAGGGAAAGTACCTCCAGTCGTCGGGCCACGGCGGTTCCGACGGGAACAAGAGGCGCCGCGTCGGGGATTTTGCGGCGGACGNGCWCACACTTTATGCTGTTCTCGCGGGAGCAGTTGCGGTTTCGTGAGAACGGAATCACACCCAAAGCAAATAATAAAATAACATAARAATAAAAGAGTTTCCCGTCATAGATGTTCTAGATTTATTCTAAAGGAGTTTGTCAGCGAATTGTGGTTCTACCACGAGGACGAAACACGAYTGGCACAGATGCAACARCACGTCACGGCGTCTAKTACGGTATCGAACGCATGTTTCATYTCCCGATTCGATCTGGGGRYAGCTTTTTGSCATCGGTTGTGGACAACGATTTTATGGTACGGGKCACTATTKTTCGCTCTTATCGTTCCCATCATCCTATTCTCGCTTTCCTTGCATCATTCCTACCGATCTGCATTGTGTTTGTTTTTGGCACCGTGGATGACAGCTACGGGAACTGGCAACGCAACCGAATATTCTTTACCACCAGGCATATACACTCCCGCCTGCGAGGCATTTGCATTCCCGATAGCAAGGTTTCGTTTGTGTGAAAAAAAAAAGAAGACCCATGCCGGAATTGTATCATTTTTTCTCAAAAACTCCGGAAAAAAACCCGACACCGCCCGACTCGTGCCGTGCTGCACGGCGGGGGACCGCAGCCGTGCCACCGGGATCCGATCCGGCTCGGTGGTYGCCGAATGCGAACGGACGGTCACCCCTCTTCCGCGACGTACGGGTGCTGGTAGTACAGGATCCAGTCCCACAGGACGGTCTCGGCCAGGCCCCCCAGGAGGGGGATCCTCCGGAGGACCGCCCCCGAGGCCCCCTCCAGGGCCGGGAGGGTCGCCCTTTCCCACACCGGCCACCGCAGCAGGTACAGCAGGAGCCGGAGCCTGCGCCGCTTCAGCTCGGCCGCCGTGTGGGGGTTTTCGTAGCGGAGAGGAAGGGCGGCGGGCTCCTTTCCCGTTCCGCGAGCAAACGCGCGAGTGCTTTTCCGGGCCGCGGCCGGCGAAGGATCGGCCCCTTCCAGCAGCCGGAGCGAGAGGAGGTCCGCCGCCAGGCAGGYCACCCAGCCCCTCCAGAGCCGCCGTCTCGCGCCGCTGCCCTTCCTCCCGGCCCCCGTTCCGCAAGGGTGCCTCCGGGCCTCGACCCAGGCCCACAGCAGGGGGCGGGCCGCGTACAGGAGCTCTCCGGCCACCAACCGGATCTTCGCAGCGATGGGGCTCGTGCCCGTGCCCGGTGCCTCCGCCAGTTCCCTCCCGGTGCGCTCCCCCACGTAGGCCCTCCGCCTCGCCAGGTCCCTGGAAGCCTTCCAGGAGAGGCCTTGGGCGTCCCTTCCTCGGTCGAAGCGGTACATGCCGCCGTCCACCAGCACCCCGCTGCAAGCGGCCGCACCCCTTTCCTCCGCGGCCAAGCGGTCCTCCCCGCCCTTCTGCCACCAGTACGACACCAGCAGGCAGGCCCTCAGGAGAAACTTGGCCCGCTCGGCCCCCAGCCGGGCCCCCGCGGCGGCGGCCCGGGGGTTCCCTCCCCTCCCCGACGCCTTGCGCGCGGCCAGGGCCACGAGGGCCGGGAGGGCCGAGTGGACCGCGGTGAGGGCCGTCCGGAGGGCCGCCACGGAGGCCGGCGGGGGGTCCCTGGTGCGGACGGAGGCCCCGTGGGTGGCGTCTTCGTCGTCGCCGTCGCCGAGGGCCAGGTGGACCGAGAGCCGGTGGAGGGAGAGGAGACCGTAGCCGACCTCCCTCCAGGCGGCCTCCCCGGTGCAGGGATCGAGGAGATCCGGTGCCAGCGACGATTCGCCGGGCTTGCCGTCGCGGTTGTCGTTGTCGTTTTCATTGTCGTTGTCGTTGTCGTTGTCTTCACCGCCCGCCGCTGCCCCGCTGGAATGGGGGAGCCAAAAGAGGAGCCTCGAGAGGGCATCGTCCAGGAGGTCGATCGTGTCCCTGTGGGCCCGGACTCCCTCCCGGTAGCGGTYCCAGGCCACCGAGCAGAGGSCGGAGGGGGACAGGGAGCCCRCCCCTTTTGCTTTCGGCTGCCGCCGCAGCTGCAGGYGCTCCGTGCCGCTCGGCTCCATCCGTGTCCTTCCCGAAGCGGTGGTGGTTCACCCCCTCTGTATCTGTGCGGGCATCGACGCCGGCGGGTGCAGGCGTCCGCTCTCGGATTTCGTGGGCCGGTTGTCTGGCTCGGCTCGGCTTGGCTCGGCTGGGCTTGGCGTGCGATGTTCCGTTTGTTGTCGGACGCAGAGACGGACAGAGTCGCTGGCGGCGAACGAAACGACGGAGGTTGCAAAGGCGTTGCGGACGCTTCGGTGCGATGCAGCGTGGTGTGGTGTGGTGTGGTGTGGTGTGGTGTGGTGTGGTGTGGTGTGGTGTGGTGTGGTGTGGTGTGGTGAAGGCCGAGCTGCTCCCTTTGTTGCTGTTGCTGTTGCTGTTGTTGCCTTGGTAGTGGCTTCTGTTCCACAGGAAACTTCCCTCTCGTCGTCCAAAAATATGATCCATTTCTGTTTCCATCGTCTAAAAACTCTGCTCGGCCGTCATTCCATCAAAGCGGAGCCCCGCAAAGAGCGTCGCTCGTTACCACCATACGTATGCACGGTACTCAAAATACTATATTTACCTAAAATACGTATCTACCTACACACCGTTCTGCCCGCGAGGTTTTTGGTTTTGCCGCACGACGTGTGGAAAACTCGAAATCAAAATCTTTTCGGAAACCAGCGCGCAGTATGTACGCGTGTACTGTACGTACTCTCCCTCTGGTGACTCGATCGGTGCGCGCCCCGAGATGCTTAGAAACAGAAAAAAGGCAGGAAAAAGGGTCCCCCCGCCGTATTTGGAGGAACAGTTCTTCGCAGGCAGCTCGTACGAGTACCGGTACGAGTACGACTATTGTAGTGACAAAATAAAATTCACAAAATATCCCCTCGTCGACACCCAGAACAACATCCACCAACCAGCAGCAGCACTACGAGTTACGAGTACGAACTCGCACCTGTATCCACCAAGACAGCGATAGCTACAACCACTAACGGCCGTAGCCACTCCTACATCCCCGGCGAGCAGCTGCAAGACAGACGGCACTTTCATGAGCAACAAGCGCAAGCGGCAGAGCCGCCGGTCCTCCGCCTCGTCGTCCTCCTCGGTCTCCTCCTCGTCCACCGCCGGGGCGGACTGCCCCTCCGCTGCCGCTGGCGCTGGCCCCAGGTCCGGCTTTTCCGGCTTTTGGTCGGACGCCGAGCTGGAGGCCGGGGCAAGGGGGGACCAGGAAGAAAGCGGGAGCGGAAAAGGCGGCGAAAAGGCCGACACCGACTACGAGGGCTTTTACCTGACCATCGGGGACGTTGTGTACGAGATCGGCGTGGGGGACGCGGTGGCGATGCGCAGCCCCGGGGGCCGGGCGGGAGACGCTGACGCCGAAGGGGCGGCCGGGAACGACCGGGACGAGCGGAGGCGCCGGCGCCTGAAGCGCATGGCCGAGGAGGAAGCGGCGGCCGGCGGAAACACGGGCGCAAGCACAAGCGCAAACCCGAATCCGGCCGGCAAAGGCCTCCCGCCCAGCGACGCCGACTACGAGGCGGACGCAACCACCGGGGGGGCCGGGGGCTACTACCGCCCCGGGGAGAAGGAAGGGACCGCCAAAGGCACCGAGGCAAAGGCCAACAGCCGGCCTTCCGGTCCCGGCCCCAAAGCACCACCCCCCGCCAAGGCCGGCGACGGCCTGATGCTGGCCCGGGTCGAGCGGGTCTGGAAGGAAACCGGCCGCAGGGGCCGGGTCCTCTTCCGGGCCCGCTGGTTCCTCTCCAGGGGGGACGTCGACGCCCTCCCGCTGGGGGACATCGAGCAGGGGCCCATCGGGTCGGCCAAGCGCTTTGCGAACGCCATCACGGGGCACGACCTGGTCCTCAGCGACCAGTGCGACGACAACCACCTGACGACCATCTGCGGCCTGGTGCAGGGTAAGGAACGGACGGAGCAAAGTTCGGTCTAGCGGGAGTGCTGTCGCGATTTTGCGTTTGGGTTTGGGATTGGGATTGATTGTGGTTGCGACTGTTCTAGCTCCGCGGTTCCATCTTGTGTTGCCTTGATGCACAGCATGTGCCATGTGATGCGATGCGATGCGTTGTTGTGGAACCCTGCATACATCCAGCAATGTGCTGGTTTGTGCCATTCCGTTCGTGTCTGCGTCGGTTTGGAGGAATCCGAGTGGCTCCGATCGACTCAGATCCTTCCAGACAGTTAGAATCGAATCGCTGCCTTTGCTGTTTCCCCAAAACTCACCCTCGCTTGTTCGTCCCATCGATCCGGATCTTTTTCGTCTTCGAACCGACCATGCCGTTGCCGCAGTCCTGTACCGGAACCCGGCCAGCAAGGAGAAGATGCCCACCACGATCCTGCCCACGACCTATCTCTGTCGCTACAGCCTCCGCATCGACGACGGCCACCGGGTGGTCATCCTGCCCTACACGGGGCTCGAGGACGCCTGGAGCGAGATGACCCCCGACGCCCTCGACGCCAAGAAACGCCCGGCCGGGCAGGTCGACTCGGACCGCGACGACGAGGACGGTGAACCCGGATACCCCAGCGGCAGCCCGGAGGGAAAGTACCTCCAGTCGTCGGGCCACGGCGGTTCCGACGGGAACAAGAGGCGCCGCGTCGGGGATTTTGCGGCGGACGAGGGCATCGACGAGGGCACCACGGAACAGAGGGACATCCAGGTCGGGAGCAACTACCAGGTGGGAGTCCCGCCCTTTGTCCCCAACGACCCGACCGTCGTCGTCGCCTCCCGGAATCCGGTCCGCCTCTGGAAACCCGGCGCGATCGGCCAGAAGGGACAGGACGACTACATCGAGCGGGCCTCCCGGATACTCACGCCCTACCTCCGCGAGCACCACCTGACGCAGGAGGAGCCCTACGCCCCGCTCCCGACGGAGCGGATGGAGGAGCTCGCGAAATCCATGGACTGGAGGCGGCTCCCGACCCTCTCCTCGGTGTCGACCTTCTCGTCCCTGGCCACGCAAAGGGTGGACGCCCTGAGGGAGGTCGACATCGACGCCCTCCTGAGGAACCTCCACGTCTCCAACTACAGCGTCGACGCAGCCATTGCCGCCATCGAGGCCTCCCCCCGGGACTACATCGCCGCCTGGTCTCCCCACGAAAAGGCCAGGTTCAACGCGGGCTTTCGGCGGTACTCGGGGTCCCTCCGGGCGATCTACAAGGGCATGGGGGACAAGGCCCTCCCAGAGGTCATCGACTACCACTACCGCTTCAAGATCCCGGACCAGTTCCGGCGGTTCCAGGAGCGGAAGCGCGAGCAGGCCGTCCGCATGCTGGAGTGCATCGAGACGCGGCGGAACTCCAACGCCCCCATCGTCGTGTCGAAGAGCATCCTGGTGGGGCCGCAGGGCGGGGGCGCCGAGGAGCACCACCGGGACGGAAGGGGCGACTGGTGCGTTTTTTGTGGTCGTGTGGGTTTGTGGTCTTTTTTTGGGGGCCCGTTGCGCGATCGACCGCCGCGGGCGTGGTTCGTTGCCTTGTGGTGGCCGTGCCATCGATCGAGCAGCAACCCGTTGCGCAGATGCGAGAGCCTTGCTTCGTATCTGCTGTGCTAAATGTTCGATTGTGTTGTTTTTCGTCTTGTTTTGTTTTCCCACTCTTGTTTATAGGATGAAAGCCGGCAGCTCTTCGTTCAACGTTTCCGTGGAGGAGCGGCGCGTCAAGGCCAAGGAGCTCCTCCTGGATGTGGAAGCGAATCTCGGAACGGAAACGATGCTCAAGGTCTTTGGCGTCTTGAAGAATGCGGACGAAACGACCCTTGTGCAATGCAAAACGAAGCTCCTCGATATCTTTCGCGGCCACAAGGAGTTCCAGACGAGGTTTCTGGAATTTTTGCCGCAGCAAATGCGTCTATAAATACTACTGGGAAGCGACTTCGAAACTAATCCAGATCTGTTGTTGTCGAGATGAAGATGCTGTGGCAGCATCTGCCTATTTGAGTGGTGTAGCGCGACAAAATTCATCACTAACATTTCAATGCGATTAGGGARCTTTCAAAACGAAATTCAAGCGCTGATCATTTTATTGGTCTCGCTTAGTATAGAGGGAAGCTATATTCTGCTCCGGTGGCAAATACACAATCATTTCAATGTTGGAAGAAAACTATAAATATCTACGGGAAGCTCGGACGGGAATATGCGTCCTACTTCTCGATCATGTGGCGGATCTGAAAGTCTTCGAAGGCGCGAGAAACGATCCGCTGAACTTGTTGTCTCTTTCTGACAGTCATGGTTCGAGACGACGACGAAGCTTCTTCTCGCAGCTSCCGAGTGATGACAGCAAATCCCTGTAGATACGAGAAGACGTCGCAAAAGGCTTTCCAGGACAGGACAGAAGCGAGATGCCCGTTGAYGGCAAAGACCGCTCCGAAATCTTGTGTCGTCCCAGGGGATTTTTCAAACCTGCATCGGATGGACCAAACTGCGTATTGCGRGAGGCCACGGATGCATCTCACMACGTGGTCGACATTGTGGGTGATGTGGCCCCGCAGGTACTCGGCGGTTTTGCAAGCAGCAAAAAGCATCATTTGGTAAAAGTTCCCGACGGAAGTTTCGAATGTGTTGATCGATGAATCGTATAATATAGGAAGACACCTGGGATACACAAAGGTCCGTACTCGAAATTCCATTTTTCGACCCTCGTTCCCRTCGTAGTCGATGGTGATACCATCCCGAAGCTTGCCTCCCTGGAATCGCTCGTAGTCGCAAAACACTTCGCCTGTCTCTGTATCGAACAAAAAGCCGCACCAAGGAAAGAGCACGCTGCCGCTACGATTCAGTTTACTGCTGACGGAGAGAGAGATACTTTGAGTTCTTCCGTCATCTGCGTTTCTCHGTACAAACGACCTTACATTCACTAGGGTCTTYTTGGAATTCACCCGAGCCCCAAGCTCGGTTATACCTTCATGAGTCCGGTCAAGGAAGCCCTGAAATGCCGCTYTGTCGGGACTKATAAAAAGGAAATCGTCTACGAAGCGAGAGATCAAGTGCATAGCTGGTTCGGTTGGTGTTGACTTGGCATTAGCCGTAGAATTTGACCAAGGCAAATGCCCACCRTCCTCACTAAACATTAATTTTTCCACCTGTCCATAGTAAAGATTGCACAATAGCATAGAGAGCGTACTCCCTTGCGAAATACCGGAGCGCTGAAGCAATAGTTTCCGTCCGTACCGACCCGAGGTCACAACCGTGTGTTGCAAAAGGTGTTCCCTCAGCAAGTCAAGKATTTTCTTTCGTTCGGTAAGAGTGCATTTCGTCAGGTCAAACACCGTGCTTCGGCTCCGTCGAGCCAGTGCATGCTTGTTGCTGTGAAAGGACTGGTAGTCATCGACACTGTCCACAAGTGTCTGGAACCGTGTGGCGTTTTCTGCCCCTCCAAAGTTTGCGGAATCAAGCTTAATCCTCTGTATCACATACGTGTTGTTCAATATTAGGTCCTGGRCGAGGTTCAGTAGATAATGTTGGTTGATGTTGTCATAGCACTTTTCAATATCTRCTTTGGCAAAAAAAAGCTGCATCTTGTTGCTGCCACTGCCTTCCTGGAGGAATTGTTGCTTAATGTGCGAAACGTAATTGCGATAGCGGGTATAAAATTCTTGGAGATTATCCATGCCATTTCCGTAGGGCCTCTTTCTGCGTCCACACTCGAGAGTCAAAACGTGGAGCACCCTTTCGAGAATTACGTTGGTTGGCAATCTCGAAAACACATGCGACAGTTCCGACGGTGAARACTCACTAGGTTTTGGTTCGGTTGAAGGATGAACAGGGTCTGGGCCCATGACATTGTTTCCCGTTGCAGTGATCGTGCTGCTTCCAGTGTTTGCTCTTTTTCCCGGACGAGAATCGTTTCCCTGCGAATCCGACGCTAGCGACCTTTTTCGATAGAATCTGCCCTCGGTKACCACTGYMGTCGCTTYRGCTGTTGTTGGAAGTGACAATCGGATGGGAACATTCCGTGACAACTGAGCTATTGGGCGCATGCCCGTCGSTTTCGGCAGAAACCGAAGCCGAGAAAGGCCCAGTGTTTGTCCTCTCAGATTGAGATGGGCCTGGCCCTTTGGCAAAATCGAAAAGTGCCTGCTGTGCCCCGATGTTCCCGGTGCCGTCGTTAGTTTTCGGACGGAAAGCGCTCGAAAGAGGGACCACACGGGCTTTCTATAGTACTGGACTTCTTTCGCACTGAATTCCGTTTCCGTGACGTAAAAGGACGATCGGAGCAACGGGATGATGAATCCCCGAAACAACCAGCGCAGGGCTTTGAGTGCCAACTCGGTCGCGGCCTCGTGATTGGTCCGTTGYTTCCGACCACTTTTGTTCTTGCCTCTACAGCGACTGTGGGTTTGCCGGTCGTTGCTTTCATTCGCTCCTCCGAGGGGATTTTCCCCGGCTGCCCGAGGTTCTTGGTGCTTTGTGGTTGGATAGAGCCACTCCAGCTCGGTGATGGATATTCCGTGCAGAATATTTTTGTTGGCGAGCCGCTCGTTGCAGCGAAGCCGCACAAAGCACCGGACCGATGCCATCACGGATTGAAAATTCCGCTCCGAGCCCCAGAACCCTGCCGGGAACACTTGGCGCAGGACGGATCCCAGAAAGGAAACGACGCCATCCTTGGGTGTAAACGCACGAGCCAGCCGTGCTAGGCGCTCGTTATCGCTACCACGTGACGACGGTGGTGAYRACGACGMCGTTCTCGATGCCGTTGTTTCCTCTAAATAATCATTTGGAAGGCCACAATAGCGCTCCAATAGTCTCCCGTAATTCCGGCAGCGGGTGTAGTTCTTCCAGAGTTTTTCRCACACYGCCCTGCCGTTTCCCTCCAKCCGCTTTCGTATTCGCCTCTGCTTGTTKTTGTTTTCTAGGTGCAGGTCGAACACGACGTTCAACACGAATCGATAATCGGTATCTCSGTTCGGATGCGGGTGMRAAGGCTGGTTCTCGATTCGKTGCGAAAACGGATGRCTCTTGGGCAGCGCAACRTGTGGTGTGTACGCATCGCAGTACATGAGCGAATACCGAGAGATTATGTCGTTGGCGTGCAGGTGCAGCCCGGGAGTTCCATTCCGAAGGGACAGCGMATTGCTTGGRAAACAGCGCCGACGTTTCCTCTTTCTCTTCGGGAGGTCGTTTTGGAGACAACGAGAATTGTCTCGGGAGGTTTTGCAAAGAGGATGGTTCGTGCCGCTGGGCAGAGGAGGACCGCACAGCAAAATGTAGTTTCTGCTGTCACCGTTGTCCCTGTCTTGGACGTCTCTTCCTTCTCGCCTTCGCTTTCGGTTTCGCTTTCCCTTCCTTGCAACGGCCGATTTCGCCATTCCATCGGCGTGGCAGTCGCCGACGATAGGCAGGAAACACCGCGTGTGAAGGAGTATCGTTCGTAGCACCTCGTCCCCTACCAGCTCGTGAAGCCTCCGTATCACCGGGGATGATCTACAAAAGGTGACGTTCTCGTTKGGATGTAGGTAGGAAATCCCGGCCTTCATCCCCGTCGGTGGCGGTCCATCTCCCTCCCTGGAAACCACGAATCCGCGGGCGAGGACATTCCTCCCGTCGTCGGATTCGAAACGGTCGCTGCCGTTACTGATGTCGGATTGGACTTTGCTCGCGGTTGATGAAGAGACTCGACAGCTTGYATTTTCGTTTTTTCCATTCGTTTCGCTTCTAGTGCAATTGCCATTGACCACTTGCATTTCTGCTGCTCCTACCGATGGTGGTGGAGGTGGCTTGTTTCGCCGCGAATGCATGCKTTTCCGCTGGTACTTACGCCTGCGTTGCAGTCGCTCTCGACGGTGCACGAGCGARTAGACGACATCGTATACCAGAGTGCGGACCGATTCTCGGCAAAGGCTAATCTTCTCCGCCTTGCTGCTTCGGGGACCATTCSTGCGAAGCACCTTGCACGTCGGTAGAGGTGCGATGATCATTCTTCGGAGCTGTTCGGGAATGGAAGGAATACGRGGCACTGGCACTGGTGACGTCGYCATTTCCTCCGTTCGGTTTGGTATGGTTTCCGCCCGTGTCCTTGCCGGAGCTGCTTCCGGGAAGGAAGACGAAACAACACACGCTGGCGCATATTCCTTGACGAAATCCTCGAGGAGAAGGACTTTACTGCCCGCTGGAAGCAGTTTTTGCACCGTTGCAATGCCCGTGCTGTGTTCCATACCAGCATTACCAYGAAAATCACTYTGAAGCGAGAAARCAAAAGGAGCCTTCTCTTCCTCGTCGATGAACACAGACTATTGTTTTGCTTGTTGGCGTCCCAAATTCGACAATCATTGAAATKGATGAAGTTTTCTTCTTCACGGTTTGTACCAGTAATTTTCTCGGTTGACACTATCATATTCTCGTTTGACACTATCATACGATCTATACTACTCTACCGTACCTAGTAGTTCCGACTGTTTTGATATTTTTCAAACACCAATATTACATATCTAAAACCTTCCAAAAATTGAATAAAGCAGAAGTACTAGTAGTATGCAATACTGGTTGGCCTTGAGGTTAAATTTGAGGTTTTGAAATTCCATTCGAAATTAGTAGTATTAGGAACTTCAAAAAAGGATTTCCTCCTACATTTTGCAGAGCTATTTTTGGGAAATAGTGCTCAGCCTCCTCTTCCTTCAACAACATCAACAAGAAGATGAAGAAGGACTGAGGAGGAGGGGGAGGAGGAGGATGAGGAATTGGTGGTATGACTGGCACTGATGAAAATCTGTTTATTTGAGTTTCTTCCTTCACCAGAGCCTTTCAGTACTGACCTGCTTCTAGCGGGACATATTTTTATTTTTCATAAGAAGAATCCAGTTCCTCCCAGTTTTATTTCAAATTGCTTGTTACATAAGCAGTAGTACTAGGAATGACGATGAGTGATGGTGCTTGCACCACCAGTCATATCACCAATGCATGGAACCATCGCTCATTTTCGTCCCTCCTTATTCGACCAGGCTGTTGCTATAGTAATCCGGTACGAATCCCATCACCATTGGAAGCTCTGAACTGCACCAAACCAGACAAGATCCCAACAGGTAGCTTCAAACTCCGGCACATAGCCCCAAATGGCTTGGGCGACAGGTGTGGCTGCATTGAAACTAATTATTTTTGACTACACTATAATCTCTGTCCGAGCGACACACACGAGGTTCTATGTGCATGACCTGCAAGGAGCAGGAGTCTAAATGCCGTACGAGTACTTCAAACGAACTAGACAATGACGACCCTATGATATATCGCGAAGACACAAAGCAACACTGTCGTTGCATCCAAACACCCGTTGATCTCGCCTTCCTTCAGGTGGGAAGAGCGATGAAATCGATTCCGTTTGGTTTGGCCCTTTCGGTTTGCGTCGGTCCGCTCTTTCCTGCAGCGTTCCACWCAACGGARTCATCGTTGCACCGACAGGTTACTTATTCCGTCTCTCCACCGGCAATTCCCACCAGTCTCGAAACATATGTACCGTATTATTCATTCATTGGTTTTGTTTCCCTGGTTTTTGGGGTCTCATAATTTGCTTTTTGCTAGAATTAAGTTAGTCTCAATAGTGCTTTAGTCTACCTTCTTTCTGTAGGAGCATCCCTCTGTGAGGCGGGCCTTACCGCCGGTAGGCTGGCAGAGCATAAGGTTGCAGTTCCCACACAGGACCACGGTTTGGGCATGGCTGAAAACCGTGGTAATTTGAAAGCATCCCGGACACTTGATATCCATAAAGAAACTATTGGGAGACTGAACAAGCCTCTTGAGCTTGTATGTTCGCGCTTCTTGCTCTGGGGAAGGGTGTAAAAGATCGACGGGCATTTTGGCAGTTACTAGTGTATATAACGAAAATCTGTGGTTCGTGGTGGCAAGCGAGAAGCGAAAATGTGTAAGAAGGTGAAAGCGTCTAAAATATGTSTGACGCCATCAAATATCAAATCGTTGCAACAACGATGCTTCGCAGTTTATTGTCTTRTTTTAGGCGTGGSTGTCTTAATGTCAGCCGTGGCGTCATCTGGTGCTTTCCTCTCCCGGTAGTCCGTGTKTATTGATTTCTCCTYCGTACTGTGCGACCCACTCTCCAAACCACGAGTAACCWTCTCCGATACCGAGATCATTGTTGCCTTTMGTAAATACCATCGCTATAGTCACTCGGATGGTTGCTCTGCTAGCTATCGTTGCATGAACGTCACAAAAGGGCCATGGTTAAACTCACCTCGAAGACCTAATAAAGGGATAGCAATAAGCTGTACGATTTGCTCGGAGGTGATCAGTGATACGAAGAAGGCGCTGCGAGCGCCAGCTGGGGCAAGCGATCCGTAGAAAAACYACGTAGTACTAGCATGCTGTACAGCATGTACGGTATTTACATTACTGTACGCAAACATGCGAGAAATCGAAAGAGACCGAAACCGATGTTGACGAATTAAGTAAGAAGTAACCACAGTAAATGATACGGACGAAGGTCAGGGAAATTCTATGCTTTCCACTCAAAAAATATGCTCACGAATGAGTGAATCGNGTAAGAAGTAACCACAGTAAATGATACGGACGAAGGTCAGGGAAATTCTATGCTTTCCACTCAAAAAATATGCTCACGAATGAGTGAATCGTGGATAGATACGAAAATACGATTATCATACATAAAGTATCTACCATACATACGTAGGGGTTGTTTTTTGGGAGTAATGGTTTTCGAAAGTGCAGTCACGAGTCACGAAAGGGTTCTTTGTTCTTTTGGTGTCTAGGGATGAATACATAGTACATAAACGTACTATGAGTATGTACTTCTACTACACTGTTTTTTTTTTCTGCCGGTACTTCAAGGCAGGCGGAGTCGCACCCAGTAAGTGCTGTCGGATTTTTGTTGCTTCACAACATACCGCACCGCACCGTACAGAGCGAGTTCACTTCGCATCGCTTCACCAGYACTACGTACTTACTCGTATGAGTACGAATACTTGCTGTACGTAGTAGTTGGCGCAAWAAAAAACAATTGTGTCAGCCGCATTCAATACACGCGTATTGTGACCGCGTCAAATAAGTGCAGCCGTCATGCTGCGCACCTGCAAGACTGAGCCATCAGAAGGCGTGAACTCGCCTCGTTTGACAGCTTTTTTGGTAACGAAGTCGACTTGTGCTTTAACAAGATTGATATATCACACATACGCGGGTTGTAGTATCGCGCTTGCTGTGTATTCGAGGGCCTCTTTTAAGTAAGAAGTAATCAATACTCCATCAACCCATTCGGCAGAGGACATCAATCAACTAATAGCAGCAACGGCAATAATCGTTTTCTTCTCTTGGAGGACCACAAGCTCGTTATCGTTTCTCTTTCAGTTGCAGGAAATGGGCCAATCGCTTTAGTCTTGTAGAAATGATAAACGGATAAATGTATTGCCATCATCACATAGATACAATCCAGTTATCGAGACCACACAAGAACACAGCAATTTGCTCCTTTCGTTGGCGTTAGGTTCTGTGCAGAATCAAATTCGAACAGTGGTATAATTCTGTGCGGACTGCGAGGCAGAACATTCTTCTACCAGAGAAAACGAGATGCCATCCTCTGGCCGAAAGCAACGGCATTTGCGGAAGCAGCAGAAAAAAGTCGCGGACAACTCTCGAAGCAACTATATGGACGATGACGATAGTTACGAGGATACTTCCAGTGCTGCGGTCCTAAAGAATTATACTGRTGTTTCTCCCAAACCGTACCACGATGATCCTGCCGCAACCGTGCCGCCGCCGCCCCCACCCTTTCCTGCCGCCCATGATGGTCTTGGATCGTTCCAGCACCGAAGCATTTCCGATGTAACCATGGAAGATCACACAGATCGGAGCGTCTTTGAATACTCTGATACGAGCGACGACGCAGATGCGTACTTTATGCCACAAAACGATGGTCAGTTTCAAAACTCACCACCGAGCCTGCTTGACAACTTTTATCTGATGGGGAAAAACCATCCTTCTTCGGCAACTTACAACAACGATGGAGGTAGTATCAACAAACAATATGCATCATCTGGAAAAGCAAAAACGAACCACCATTATAAGAAAAATTACAAYCCTCACGATCACAGCAACAGGAGTGGCAGCAGTGGAGAGTCTGCCTTTCGAGACTTGAAGAAAAATGGGAGCAAGTCAACAAAAATAGTCAGATTCTCTCCCAGGCGATCTGGCGAGTGCGAGGAACATGGATTTCGAGACGACGACGAAGAAAGTACGATCATTAGTAGGATCATGTCAACGAGTCCCGCGTCGACGACAGATTCCGAAACGAAAGGCGAGAATAACCCGTTGCTCGGGGGTTTTATGAAACACGTGGCCAACGTTTTCAACACCCCCACTGGACTCGAAACCACGAGACGGTCGTCTCGAATAAACACCAAAAAGAATTCCGAATCATCCACCGGGCACAGACGCAAAGACTCTCATATGGTCACAGAATACCCTTATCTGATGGTCAATATGAGGAATACCTCGTCGGGTTCGTCCGCTTTAAAAGACCTAAACAGAAATTCGCTAGAAAATAGTCCTCTTCTTCCCACAGCACAAAGGCAATCCATTTATGGTGCAGGTCAAGATATAGCAACACCGGAGTATTATCGGACAATTCAGACCGCGACAACATCCGCATCAGTAAACTCCAATAAAATACCGAAGCCRGAGGCAWTGGAGAGGATGCACAGCGAAAATAGTTACAGCGCCATCGACAACAACTCCGGCAATCCGATGSTAGAATCATCGCGTCGTCCATCCGTCGTGAGAAGTCGATTGAAGGCTGCCCARGTCGCTGCGTACTTTTTGATGGATTACGAAGCAAGCCGTGTCACATCACTCCCTTGCACGTTTGAAACAATCACKTCAAATCAACTGSTGATGTACAAGATTTACTTTTCGTGGCAATGGAGATACTTTGTCAACTTGGCTATCATCCTTTTGTTCCTTTCACATACGCGTGATACGCTGACAACTGCTATTATGACCACCCTCGTCATTGCAGTTCTTGSTGTTGAAATACACATTCGAGAGAGGATGTATGGAACGGATGCACGAACCGATACAAAGCACTTAGATAGAAGGCTGGTCCGATCGATGGTGGCGTTCCTGTTCATTCTTGGCCTAGAAACTTGGATGTGGTATKTCATTTCCCCCGAAATGGCGATGTACGAACCTTCGAATCCTCCCCTATTCTCTTCTTTTTTCAAGCCCTTGGTACTATTCTACGTTAGTGCTAAGGCCAGAGACTCATTGGAAGCAATTTTCAGGATTAGCCAAATCGTGATTCGGATWCTTCTCCTTGAATTTTTCATTATTTTGATTTTTGCCTCCGTGGGAAATCGCGTATTTGGAAAAGATTTTGACGACTTTATRGATCTTCAAACATCTTGGCTTTCTTTATTCAAACGTAAGTTRGTTGGRCGTATTGGGTTTCCTGTTAGAACGCAATGCTGGATCCAACCTGAAATACGTTGAAATGACCTAACATTTATCGAACTCTACGCACCCATCCTTTATTGCTTGTGTACAGTATCCACTACGGTGAACAACCCTAGTCTTTGGATGCCCATCTATGCGAAGGCCGCATCAAATTCCATCTTTTTTGTAGTTTTTATCATCACGTGTGTGTTTTACTACCACTCGYTGGTTCTTTCCGTGGTATTTCAAACGTACATCCAAGCGATTACAGATATCCATGAACGGACAGCCTCGGATCGAAATGATGCGATTCGGTTGGCATTCCTAGCGTTGTTGAAAGACGGCCAATCAGAGTACATCAGCACATCAAGCGTAAGAAAATGCTTGCAGGTGGTCCGGCCGCATTACAACAGCCTGAAAATGAATGCACTGCTGGAAATCTTTGACCCTACAAATGAGAACATCATTGATTATCCAACATTTCGGAATAAGATTCGCCGGGCCTTAAATTCTTCTGTTCGAACAGCTCGAACAGCGACTCCYTTGGCAATGGGTGTGGAATTCATTGCGGTGTTTGTTGCTGCTACGAACTGTTTTTATGTGACTGGCAAAGCTCTTTACGGAAGAAATGATCTTGGGTTCGAAACTCATGGTTATGTTGGGTCTGCAATTACCCTTTTCGGCCTTCTGGAGTTGACGATCMGATTCAACCCCCTTAAAATCCCCAATTTTGCTCCAATTACAAGACTGGACGTCTTTTTTGACGGCATGGCACTCCTTGCAGCGTTGATTTCRTGCTATGGCATYATTCAGTACGCYATGGGAYACGAAACACTGATTGAAAGCGGAGATATGTTTGACTACCTACGTCTGGGAAGAGACATCGATATGATCMGAGTGCTACGCTTCTCCCCAATCTTCCGTGACATTGTGCGAAGAAGCTCTGATGTCCTACCCACACTAGCCGGACCTATGATGCTATTCCTCTCGGTGATCCACACATTTGTTTATGTCGGGATTGTACTCTGGGATGGCGCTATCGACGTGGCACTTTTGAGCAAAAACGAAGCCTTGACGCCTCTATATTGCCTGAACAATTTTAATTCGTATACAGGAGGCTTGATTACGATGTTTAATGTTGCGGTGGTCAATGACTGGCACGCCATTGCGGAAGTTTACACACAGGCCGAACGCAACAACAGCGATGCGATTGTTTACTCGTTTTTTGTTTCTGCGATATGTTTCATTGTGTAYATTATGATAAATGTGATMATCGCATTTTTCGTGGAAAGTRAGTATTCATCTGTGATCTCTGRGAAAATGTAATCAACCTTTGYCTTCSGAACGAATCAATGCTAACCACTTTTGATACAACTCTTTTTCCAACAACAACTTCAAATTACCCTCGTTTTCAGCTTTCGTCACGAAAACGAACGAACCCGCAGACGAGAGYAACCCAGCGGAAGAAACCACAGCGAACCTCAATAACAGTTTCAGAATTCAGAACAGCGAAAATACCAACGTGAGGCGCATTCGCAGCTGCGACAAATTTTMTTTTTCSGATGAAGACGCCGAGGACGAGGCCCTGCTGGACCAGAATGCCTCGGTGATTTCGGCAACAAGCAGCACAWACTCGGAGGTGTTTGCCGCCTTTGACATTTACGAGCGAGAGGGGTTCGATCAGATCATGCGCACGGTCGCCGGTTCTTCCGACGACGAGCAGGAAGCCTTTGCCCGGAGCGTTTGCAACTACCTGGARCGTTTCGAAAGCCTGACCTTCGGCCGGGAAAAGGTCGGATACATGGTGTGCTGCCAGCAGAGCATGAATCGGTTTGGCAACCGGCGGTTCCAGACGTCCGCGAGGTCCTTTCTGACCGAAGAAATGCTSCACAAGGTCGTGAGCGACATGCATGCGGAGCTGTTGGTGCTCACCAGCACCCGGAAGAACAGTTTCGGAAACCGGTGCCTGGTTCGGACCTTTCCGGAAACATCCGGAACAACGTCTCAGCACCTGGAGATTGCTGCGACCTTGCTGCGCCACCAGCCCGCCGCAACGCTATTTTCGTCGAGGATTCGACCGAACAAGGCTRCCGGCGACAAATGACCRTTATTCACACGAAACAGAACCAGTGCATCAGGATAGATATTCATAAATCATGTAATAATTRTACTTGTACTTMAACCATCTATTCAAGGAGSATTTGGCGAGAGTGTCAGAGATAGTGCTTGTAGAAAATTCATTTGTGTCCTTTGTCCCTGAAGTGTGAAGCTCAGTGCAAGATTCAGTGACAAATGATGATGAAAGAYGCACACTCGAAACCGTTTCTGGCAAACACCGTTCACTGTACTAAATAATACAATATGAGCTGAACACATACAATCCAATAGGTTCCATTAGAGAATATGGCATTTACAGTACCATATTCTACACCACTCCTGGATCAACTACTTTGGTTTCTGATTGCATTGTCTCTCCATGCGTGTCGTTCTCTAGCATCCTCGTACCACTCCAGAGGTCGTCGTAGCGCCAAGTCTACGAAAGGATTTGYGACTCGTTCTTTTCTGAGATAGGTGGGAGTTGTGTGGCCAGACAAAACGATTGAGTCGTCGTCAAAAAGCTCGTAGAGTCGCCTTATGCTGTGTAATGTACATAGTTTACGTATTTTTAATAAGAGAGTGTGTGAGAGAAAGAGAATGACGATGGTGGTGGAAAAWWACATGTATTTGTCGGCCACAGAAAGGGCGTGCTTTCGCGATTTCTTTTYGCCGATGTTCCTTGGTGGTGGTTCCGAACCCTCCCGGGTGTGGCTCACCTTGCGTACAGGTCGTCCAGAGAGGAGTTGTGGAAATCCGTCCGGCCCACCGATCCCTGAAAGAGCAGATCTCCCGAGAGCAGCACGCTTCCCGCAGCGCCACGGCCCTTGTCGCTCTCGCTGCCGCCTTGGTTCGCACCGCGGGACGTTCTCCGGTCGGCAAAGGCCACGTGGCCCGGGGAGTGCCCGGGGGTGTGCACCACGGAGAGCTCGATGCTGCTCCCGATCGCCAGGACCTGCCCGTCCTCCAGGGCGTGAGTCGGTGCCGGGAGCGGGCCGTCGTTCGGAAAGTCCATCCCGAAGAGGTCCCTCCCCATCCGCTTTGYCCCCTCGTAGTTTGCAGCCTCCAGGGGGTGGAGRGAGAGCGAGGCCCCCGGCCAGGCCTTTGTGAGCTCGGACACCCCCGCGACGTGGTCCGGGTGACCGTGGGTCAGCAAGATCCGGGTCACCGCGGTCRCTCCCCCGGCTTCCAGGAAGGATTCCAGCGCCCCTAGGTCGCAAGGAGTGGAGAAGGACGGGTCGACGACGGCGGCCTCCCCGGTCGATCCGCAGACCAGCGCGTACGCGTTGCAGGCGAGAGGACCGCAGGACCTGCTCGCCAGGGCGTACCCGCGCCCCCGGATCGGGAGCCTCCCCGACAGGATCCTCATCTGGGTTCCATGCGCTTTGCCTTGGATCCTCCGTATGGTTCGGATGCGGTAGCGTCGGCTGCGTTTGTGTTGTGTTTTGTGTGCATTGGGTTGGATTGGATTTGCTACAAGGGTTTTGAATGTTCGCATGCAGAAACTTTGTACAAAATATACCGTACGAACTCTACATCAGGGGATGACCCCTGCTCTACATTACCTAGCTTTCGAACTCGTGAACCAACGATTCGGGAAAGCACGAATTCATACCTTTCCCAGATACGTGTACAGTGATATTTTTGATGGGTCTCATTCTTCTGAGTACTATTGTAGATGATTATTATAAGCCCTTTTCGGCGACCTGCTCAAAGCCGTTCAATGCTCTGGTTCAAAAGATGATAGTGATTGCATTGGTTTCAGTTTTGAGATAAATGCGTACTGAGTACGTGTACAGTGTGGTCTGCGCTCGGTGGTGTACTGCATGCAATTATGATGTTTTGTTCTTTTCAATTCTCTCGAAGCGTGCCACCAACCCTTCTGTTTCTTAAAACCTACACGGAACTATCTTTTTGCGTACGTACCGTTAGTTTTTTTTCCCTTCCTTGAAAACATAACGATGTTTCGTGCATTAATCCCATTCGGTACTCGTACGTATGTACGCGTATCGCGGCGTGCAGTACAGTATGACCGATACGACGATACCGGTACAAGAATCATCGTCATTAGCGGATCATCTAAACAATAGTTTCTATTGGTTCTACCAGAGAGCGCAAAGGCCTTTTGGCTACTACCACAAGTTTCCGGGATGGATTCTTCCAATGATCTAGCCGTACACTCCAGTGGACCGGCGCCCCGGCTCCGAGACGTCGAGGAATCATCWTCGCAACCGCCGCTGCCCGAGGAGGAGAACAATGACAGACGGCCTTCGGAAGCCACGGGGACAGAATCGCCCTCCCCRAAAAGGCCTAGGATCGAGGGCCGCGAAACCGGTGAGAACGCTGCGGGAACCGCTAGGACGACCGTTGTGGAAWCGTCGTCCCAGTCGTCGTCGTCGTCGTTGCCCGGCGGAGGGAACAGCCCGGGAGGTGGCGACGGCAACGATGCCGATCCGCAGCAGCAGCAGCAGCAGGAGGAGGAGGAGGAACAAGAACCACGACCGAGCGGGGGCACCGACCAAGCGGTCCAGCGCCTGGATTCGGAAGACCTGGACCTGGAGGACGACGGGTCCAACTCGGACGACGAACTCCTCTTTCAACAAATCCTGGCGGCGGCGAGAGCGGGGAGAATACCGTTGGAATACCTAGCTGCCCACGGCATCAACATCGAGTTCGACGACGGACCGGTGGAGTACCCGTTCGACGAGCCGCCGRCGTCGATCAAGGACGTTGCGAACTTTATCCGATCAGAAAAATGCCAGCGAATCCTGGTCTTGGCGGGGTAAGTCTGCGGACCGGTATTTGCTGTGTTGCGTTGCCTTTACGGCGTTTTGTGGCTGCGCATTCTTCCTTCTCTGGCCAATAACAGAACCAAACCTTGTAGTGTGATGAAAAATACCCCACGTGCTGGTCTCATTGATTGACTGATTCATTTATTCATTYGCTACGTGCATCGAACCATGGATTGCCCACGTTCTTGCTGCGACACGATGCCACATTACCATTTTTCACGAAAACGAAGGGCCGGAATGTCGGTAGCATCGGGCATTCCGGATTTCCGGAGCTCGAATGGTTTGTACGCAACCCTGGACGCGTCCAAACTGACAGCCACCCCCGAACAGGTGGAACAAATCAGGGCCGATCCGAGCTATTCGCTGGACCAGCACTTGTTCATGGAAAACCCGCTGCCGTGCCTGGAGGTGAACCGAGAATTCATCCTGGGCGTTCGGGAACGMCGGTGGAAGGCCACGCTGGCCCATCGGTTTGTGGAGATGCTGCGGACGAGGGTCACCAACAAAGAAGGAGGGGGCAAGCTCGTCCGATTATACACGCAAAACATCGACGGCCTGGAGGACCAGTGCGAGGGCATCGGTCACCAGAGGCGCATCGCCGTCCACGGTTCGATGGACGAGGCAGAGTGCGCCACCTGCGGGGCCGCGATGGACTTTGACGTCTTTTGCGGGAGGGTCAAAACGCAGATCAAGGACATTCTGGGAAAAGATCCCTCGGCCCCTTTGCAATCGACCCCCATTGTTTGCGAGTCGTGCGGTGCCGGAACGGTCAAGCCCTCCATCGTTCTCTTCCGGTCGCGCCTGCCGGACGTCTTCTTCCAGAACGTCCCGAACGACATCAAGAACATCGACCTGCTCCTGGTCCTGGGAACCTCGCTCGCGGTGGCACCGGCCAACAGCCTCGTCATGAAAATCCCCCGATCGTCCATGAGGGTTTTGATGAACCGAGAGCCCGTGGGGTGGCACCTGGGTCTGGACTACGAGTCCAACGACCGCGACTACTTTGCGGAGGGCGACTGCGAAACCAGCGCGCTGGATTTCATGGAGGAGCTGGGGTGGCTGGAAGACCTGAAACCCCTGATGGATCGATCGGAATTCCCGGAATCCAGTTCGAAGCTGCTGCGGGAACGGCTGGAACGGGTTCGGCAACAACAGGAACAACAAAAGCAGGTGCAAATACCTCCGGAGGACCAACAAAGAGTGGTTGAGGATGGCAAGGAGTAAGAAGGTTGACAAATCAATCTTTTTATCCATTATTAATTAACACAATACATATGATGGTTGCGGCAAGGTAATTGTAGCTAGCAATTGCATTTTGAAAGACTCTTTAGCGAAAAAAAATCAAGCAATTTGCGTTCCGTCCAAACCCAAGTAGACGTTCCGTTCTTTCCACAGTGTGCTTTGGCCTTGACCGAATGCAACAGATTTCTTTCCCTCGTTGAACCGGACGCGTTTTCGAAAGAGAAGCCAAATTCGCACGCACCCATTACTCCAGGGCCACCGCGGTGAGTCCCAGTCCTTCCGACATCCCACCCATTTTCAGCATGATCGTGGCGTCGGCAACCTCCTTCTGGAAGAGGGAGCGTCCGGACACGAGGTCGTCAAGCACTCGATCGTATTCCAATCTCGGCAATTGCAGCCGCACGGTAGAAACCGGATCGTCTCCCTCGTTTCCTCGTTCTCCGGACGAAGCCTTCGGCGCAGAGGTTTTGGTCGCTGCCGCAGACGGAGGTGGGCAGCASAGGTCGACTCCCCCCCAAAACCATTGGGTTGTGGCCGACGAGCCGTTGCCGTTGTGCCCCGCCGAGGCACCTGCCGCTGCTTCGCTTGCGGTTGGGTCGATGGTTTCTTCGAACACAATCTTGGCCACCCTTTGAAACCGGAGTCGCCTGCGCGATGAGAGAGAAGAATCGTTTATKTCAAAGGATGTCGCAATCGCGGTTTCCCAGCTGAGYAGCCTCAGGAGGAGGCACTTGATTTCGCTGTTCGATTTTGTGCTCTCTCCGCCCTCCSCATCGTCGTCGTCATCTTCTGTTTCTTCACACCGAACGATAAACGTGAAAATTGCCTTGGATTCGGCGTATCGGACCAGTTCTCGAGCAAGGAAGGAAGAACACGATGCGAAAGGCTTTGTGGGCTGCAACAACGAAGCGTTTTGGAATGGGATGTGGTTCGCTTCAACGGGATTCTCTCCAATCCTGTATTCACTTTCTCGCGTTTGTTCGTTTTCCTGAGGCAGTTTCGGCATTGGTAGGCACAAGCGGTGCTTCCAAAATCTCCAGGTTTCGGGGCTACCCAGGGAAGCAAACCCGATCGGAGCACAGCACCGACCGCAGCAGAGGCTGACGCTATCCCCGTCCGCCGCGTCCTGCCAAGATCGATTTCCACGCACCACCGCTGAGGAGGGAAGAACCTCGTCCTCGCTATTGGGCCGGTGCTCTTCCTCTTTTGCGTCTCCCGGGGCTCCCTGTGGGTCGTTGCGGTTGGGACCACCGCTATCCTGTGGCTCCTGGAGCACAAACAACGAGGACTCCGGTTTGGTTCCGAAGGTTCCCAGGTCACCGAAACCATCGATTTCGCCTCTATTGGCATCGTTTTTCCTTCGTTCCGTCGGTTCACCGTATCCGTCGACGGCGAGAGCGCAAACCGCATGTTCCACATCCCTTCTGTGAAAGCAAAGCAAGCTGGCATCTTGCAACGCCATGGATGGTTCTGCACACTCTGATCCAGCAGAAAAATCCACAACTGGTTGCTGGAACAAAATCGGACGGAGACGCGGAAGAAAAAGAAATGGGGAGTCAAGCCATCCATATTTTGTGTGGAATGAAATAAAATGCAGTGAAAATCAATCAACGAATGGATTGTTTGAATTCGAATGGAAGTGTGGGAAACAACGCATGAAAAATGGAAGTCGTAAAGTGAGCAGCATACAAAACGGTCYAAACGCCAACAGCATCAGCACGATAAGAGCGACTCCAAAAATATCGAACCAAGCAAAGAAATTAAAAAAAACAATGCAAAAACGGAACTTACACCGTCATAGCAAATCAGATACTCCGCGATTTCGTCCCAGTGTCCCACCGGGAGAGGAAATACCCGACGAATCGTACCCACGTCAGATTGGGACGGCTCGGTATCGCTCGAGGAGGAATGGATTGCGGTTTTGTTGTGAGAGTTGCTGCGGCCGTTGTTGCTACTGGCCTCGRCATCGTTGTCGTGTGCTCCGCAGTCGTGGCGCCTCCGGAGAATAAGGGGCGTGTGACACGATCCGCACAGCACGCTGTTGATTTCATCCAGGGTAGAAGACGACGAAGCATTGCCGATCGCACTGCCACCGAGAGACCCCGGGGCAACGGAAGGATCGTACGGATAGGGGAGCCGAAAGACGATTTTCACCGCAGAAAAAATAGGCACCGCTGCGCTGCTTTYGTTGCCGGGCGTATTGCTGGGATAAACCCTCCACGTGACGTCGGAAGCCTCTATCTTGCGTGGGAATTCTCCCACAAACAGAGCCGCGGTGTGGTCTGTCGCTGGCTGGGAAGCCCGGACATCGCCGGGTTTGTTTGCTTCCCTCCGTCGAATAATCACYATCGTGCGGGAAGCAGCCCTGCCCAGTGGGGTTGTGGAGACAACGATCGAGTCCGCATCCAAACCACCGCTGCTCCTTTCGTGCGGCGGAGAGGACGACGGCTGCCTCAGTGTCATCGTGAGCTGAAACCTGCAGATTTGCGGCATTTCTTCCGCCACAAAGGACACCACTTCGTTCCCTAYAATCGGTAGCGACGGCAGAGAGAGCGAATGATTCGTTTCCCCCGGATCGTTTGAGCGATGGATCGTTTTGAGTCCTCCCAGAGCCGACGAGACCTCCGTCGACGTCGTTGGTTTTGGGTCCGTTATTGTTGTTGTATCTACCATTTCTGTTGTCTTTTCATTTGCTGTGGGTGGTGTTGTCTTTGTAGCTGCTGCTGATGGATGTGGTTTGTGGCTCTTGCTCGTGGCTTCCAAGTTTGTCCCTTTGCTCGACCCTCGTTTTGGCTTTCCCGTTCCTTCCGATGCCTCCGTTGGATCCTCACCCGAARCGGCCGATCCCAGGACCGACCAGAATTCCTCTAAAACRCGCTCTGCCTCCGCTTCGTTCCGAACGGTGGTGGGCGGGGGTAGCTTTGGGCCGGCGACCGTGCCGGGCCTCTTGTCGTTTGTGCGCTCGCTTGCGGTTTTCGGTTCGCTCGTGGGGGTCGCCCGGGAGCATTYGCCCGGCCCCGTACCCCGCCTCGGCGCGGTAGTTGCCCGGGACCGTGCTTTGGCGTTCGCGCTCGCTCGTGGCCTGCTCCCCCCGCCGCTCCGCCCCGGRCACGAAAGGCGGTGTCCCCCGTCCTTCCAGTCCCATCGCTGGCAATCTACCGAGCAGTAGTAGACCGATCTGCACCCCGAGCAACGAGTGGTACACGGTTTTCCGCACACGCTGCAGGAGCGATCGCYGTCGCGCTCCTTGTTGCCATCGCCACGGCCGTGGTCCGGACCGGGGCGGTGATGGATGCCATCGGCAGCTGSGTTCTGCGGGGCTGGAGCCGGTGCGGTTTGGCAGGATGGCGATGCCATCGTTCAACTCATCGGGATCGGCGCCCGCTGTCCGCAACGCACAGCGCCAACCGTGTGTGGTTGGGCTAGGCAAAGACTCGTCTTCGTTCCTTGTTTCGCAAGGGTGTCTTCGATTGCAATCGTGGCACACAAGGTTGAGCTTTGCCCTTGGGATTGGGTACAGTACGAAATAAAGTTGTGTCGTCAATCGATAGATATAGTGTTGGATAGAATTGTGTTTCGATGATCCTTGGAAAAATCAATCCCGAAAAAATTGGTGCCGTATCCTTGCATCGTAGAAATCCCAACGTACCGGTGGACAGACGGACATGCCATCTATCGGTCGGCAACTGTTTTGGTAAGTAGTACTACAAGTGTCATCTTTGATTATTAACTGGTCCAGTACTAGTACTACCCTGATATTTTTGCAACCCATATCTCAAAAGGGTCAAATTTGGTGCAGAACCCCAAAAGGCTATCTTATAGTAGAGTTGGTGGAGAGTTTCTGGCTTTGTCATTTGTACATTAGCAATCCTTAATAGTAGTACTAATGTACATGATACACGACGTAGTAGTAGATATTTACTAAATAATCAATAACCCCCTATAACCCCCCACATAGCAATATTCGTCTTTAAATTACCTTAGCACTACAAGTAGTACTATCATATTTCATGGGGGGGATCACTGCTGGGAGTGAATATCATAGTAGTACCAACAACTCACAGCACACCAGCAAGTGAATGATGCCGAATAGTTTGAATTTGAGCAAGAAGCAACATGTACCATAATGTACTAGATCACTAGAATCTTTCCTCAGCCAAAGCAAGGAAAATACAGCCAGTCTTGCTTCTCAAAAAGCAACATCATGTACCATAGTAGAACAGAATGTAGATCAGTAGAATTGTTCCTCAGTCAAAGCAAGGAAAATAAAGAAGCCAGTCTTACAACTTCTGGAAAAGAGTTGCATTGCAGAAATGGAAAGGGAAAGAGAAATGCTTTTTCTGTTCCACTCAGCAGGTCCTATGGCTCAGCTCCACCAGAAAGGGAACAGATGGACACACTCACTCCTACAGTTTCTGTTCCCACAAAAAAGCAATATGTTTTCTAAAAACAATCAAACCAACATGATTCTATCTGCAAGCAAACAACCAAATCAACAATCTCTAAAATGTCCAACAAGGAGCAATCAAGGAAGCAACCAAAGGAAGCACCCCACCTCAAATGTTTCAACTCTCTTCTCCTCACCCTGTACTATGGTGACTCCAAGGCCCTTCTAACAGCTGTTCTCCTCACCCTGGTCAACAACGGCTTCCTTGGCCTGAACAAACTTGGGTGTCAGGCACAAACCAGCAAAAACATGAACACCATTGTCCATCACAACTCCATCTGGGAGCAAGTTTACTAAAGATCATGTACTACAACAAGATGCACCACAGGTTTTTTTTTCTTTTCCCATTCCAAATGAAGCAGCCCTGGATTGCTAGAGCTCTCTCTGTGACCTGAAGGTAGTATGATATAAATCTCGAGAGCCACCACCAAGAAGTCCCTTCTTGTCCTCCCCTTCTTCCTCTGAGCCATAACAAGGGCAATCTTGCACTGTTTGGTAATCTCCAGCTTGGGGACAGGAATGAGGAGTTCTTTATTTCAAGGAAGAACTCAAGCTCTTTTTGACAGAAGGTATGGCCCTTATAGGGCACAATGTCATTCCAGTTGTTAATGACTACAGTGACTTTGGCATCCATGAGTACCAATTGACAGTAAACCTACAAGGATACTACTAGGGGGGGGAGTGTGTTGCATCCACAAGCCAGACAATGGCTCTATTAATGACAAAAAACATAAATGTTTTCTCCAAATCAAAAAATTTGTAGGGAGTGATATTCTGGATCTCCTGGACTCAGCCTGGGCAAGAAACATCAAGAATCAGTTAACCTATTTGATGATGTAAGAGTTGAAAGTTCCATGAAATGGAAATTTTTGCTACCATGTAAACCATAACTCAAATTAATAAAACTTGAATTAGTATAATAATTATGCAACGGATACGTACGATACGAAGCTCCGAAGAAAGGAATGAAGGTTCATACCATTCCTACGTACCCATCGTAGGGTATGCTTCCTATATACGTATCATAGGATGCATTATAAGAGAACCGAACACTGAACAAGTAAGAGGTCCACGATATCAGAAATAGAATACCTCGCATGGAACAAAGATGTCACGAGTTCTGAATAGTAAGAACCCCATGTAGATTSAGTACCAGATCTACACAAGTAACTAATCGGAACTTCGGAAATCTCACGTCGAGGTTCAATAATCTTAATCTTATAATTCAATTTTCATACACACTTAAAATACCTACTAAGAGTACACGTAATCTCGTGCACAGTAATTACTAAGTGATTCGTGTATCGAAATTTAATCAACCCTTAAGAAAAACAACCAAAAATATCACACCGACCATGGTGAAACCAAATAAGAACTCCTCCACCAAACAACAAAGACAAAATACACATCGATCCTGTCTCAGCCTAATCAACAACTTTGATGAGAGCCAAATGAAGACAGTCTCCCTCACCKTGAACCTTCAATGCCCAGCAAGGAARCTAACAAGGAGCTGTTTAAGCTTCACKGGTGAACATGGAGTGCAGGAAYTATTCCATGTACAGGAAGACTTTGAAGATGCAATAAAGGATCTGGAACTAACGGGCGAAGATATAGACAAGAGGTGGCAAATGGTCCTAGCACACAGAC